CGTTCAAGTTGTCTTGCTCTAGATGTAATCTCATCACTTCCACCCACGTGTCAATGCATCCATCTGAGTCGTCTTTGAATTCTTTTGGCTTCTTGAATGTTTTTCTTGATTTCCCATCTCTCCTATCGCTCGAGTTAGTGTTCCTCGTGGCGAAGGCCTCTAGAGTCCTGTTCATCATCTCCCAAGTGTTTGCCCATGTCATAGCATCCGGACCTGCGTTGCTGTTAGCTGTTGAGTCCCCCGGACCAGTCGTTGTACTTGACATTCCATTCTTCATGATTGTTTTAGCAGCTGTTGGTGCTATGCTCACCGTATCCCGGGTTAAGGGCAACGGTGTCGATTGCCGTTTGTTCCTTTGTGGTTCCACAAAGTCAACTCTGGTGCCTTGCGCGCGATCCGCTGCCGGTCTTTCTTGTGAGGTAGAATTACTCAAGATTGCATCCAATTTCGCCTGTATTGCACACGAACTCTCGGCCTGATTTTTGCTCATTGTGTCCATTCTCTTTTCCAGGCTACCTAATTTGCTGTTGACATCATCATATCGGTTTTTTAACTGTTGCAAATCTTTTTGATGTTCTTATCTCGTTCTTCATTGGTGGTTTCTACATTATCTGACATTTCCTTGAGTCTCTCTTCTGTTGCCTTGGCCAGGTTAAAATAACTATCCAGATACTCGTTTTTGTTGTATCTTAATTCTTTTCTTATCACTTCTCTGTCCTCTTCGCTGTGCTTCAGCTTTTTGTCGATCTGATTCAGTTTCGCCATCAAGTCACCTAGCTCAAGAGTAGCCTCTTCATGGTCAGCCGTCGGTTTTTCTTCGGCCGTCGCTTCTGCTCTAGTTTTTTCCTCTCTCGGATTGGCTTCTGTCGTCTTCGTGCTCACTGTTCCAAATGTTCGTGCTCTTTCAGCTTTTGGTTCTTCAGTCACGTTCTCTTTCGTTTTTATTCCGACCATCATCGCCAACCTTTCTGTAAAAGATGTCTTTTTTACTTGAGAGTCTTCTTTCACCGTTTCTTCGGTGTTGCCTATTGCATCTTCCACGTTGTCTATTGGTGAGAATTCTATGGGTTTCGAGTTTGGTTCTTCTGCATTGGGCATTGGAGTTGACTCCGTCGCTATTTTCCTTGTTTCATCAACACTTTGATCAGGTGTCTCTAGATCAATCTCGATGGTGGGTTCTACTCGTTCCCCTTCCATGCCCTCTCTTGCTCTCTCCGTTGTACTCCTTGTGCTGACCATATTAACTGAAAAGCTCTTCTTTGTTATCTTCGGACCCATTGATGTTGTTTTGCGTAGCGACGAATTATACTTTGCTTCGGTAGGTCTTTTTTCAGCTACCGGTACCCTGCTCCGCCTCATTATTTCTATTTACAATTGCTCTTATTTACAATTTTACTATATACACAATCCTATTCTAAGAATAAAATCTTTCGGGAAGGAAGAAAAAAATATATACAACGTGGTGAAAACCTTGTTTCAGTTCTCTTTATTAACTTTTCGAGAAACTTTCCTTATTTGTGGTCTCAACCGTACCTGGTTCCAATTAGTCTTGTTCTATCTTAATTCTGTCTTAAAACACTTCTTGTAATTTTACTTCAATTTTTTACACTGTCCCAAGACTTCCAATTGCCGTCCCTATTCTTCTTTGTACCGTCCCAGGCTTCTTTCTCCTGTCCCAAGACTGTTCGGTACCGTCCCAGTACTTTCCGGCCGTGTCCCAAGACTCTTGTCCAAGACTACTGTCCCAAGGCTAGTGTCCCAAGACTACTGTCCCAAGACTACCGTCCCAAGATTAGTGTCCCAAGACTAGTGTCCCAAGACTAGTGTCCCAAGACTACTGTCCCAAGACTACTGTCCCAAGACTAGTGTCCCAAGACCCTGTCCCAAGACCCTGTCCCAAGACCCTGTCCCAAGACCCTTGTCCCAAGACCCCGTCCCAAGACCTTGTCCCAAGACCCCGTCCCAAGACCTTGTCCCAAGACCTTGTCCCAAGACCCTGTCCCAAGACCCCTGTCCCAAGACCCTGTCCCAAGACCTTGTCCCAAGACCTTGTCCCAAGACCTTGTCCCAAGACCCTGTCCCAAGACCTTGTCCCAAGACCCTGTCCCAAGACCCTTGTCCCAAGACCTTGTCCCAAGACCCCGTCCCAAGAACTTGTCCCAAGACCCTGTCCCAAGACCTTGTCCCAAGACCCTGTCCCAAGACCCTTGTCCCAAGACCCTGTCCCAAGACTGCTCTGTCCTAAGACTTCTTCGGCACTGTCCCAAGACTGTTGACAAGTGTCTGGGTGGTGGGACTTCTTCCCTCTTCGTTATGGGGACTTCTTGATTCGCCGTACCTTGTACCACCACTCAAGCTCTAGTAAAATTTTCCCAAAATCCTCTCTTAAAAACCAAATGTTGACCCCCCTTTTTCTTATTTCTCTTTTTGGCTACCTCTATTTCAATGTTCCAAGTAACTTGAGACCAAAACCTGTGCGCAGGTATCTTGTGATCACCTGTTCGTACAAAATTTTAACACAAATCCTCACCAAAATGCAACAAAAATCTAAGCAAGAAAAAGGAATAAAAACAGAAAGATGAGCCCACCTAAAAATCAAAGGTGACAAATGTCTACCTTCTATCGAAAAAAAATGTCTTGTACCTAATTGCCACGCGTTTCCTTCCCCCCTGCTAGCGATCTTATGGGGTATTACAAAAACTGTCTATGTCCCTTCCCCCTACCAATCCGACCAGGGTACCTTCCTTAACTCGAGTTCAAATTTCGATATCCACCTAATATTACCAACGCGTGTTAATTTCTAATGTAACTAAGTCAACGATGTCGACTAATTAGTTACTCTAATTTCCCCCTTTTTACAATTTACAACCGCCAACCTCTAACTTAACCAGCCCCCCTTCTAACCTCCCCCCTTTTTAGCCCCCCTTCTTAAGCCTAAAATTACCTTAAGCGCCGGGTGCTAAACCTCTCAAGAGAAAACCGTAGACCTGTCTCCAGGCCTGCTCAAGTAAAAACGTTCCTCAAAACCGGGGGATGTCGCTTATCCTATTTTACACTTATCTCCTATAATGTAATGTGGATTTTAACGATACCCGTTCTGCCCAACTTGAGAACTCGAGAATTGCCAAATCCTTCTTGGCTGCTTTCCCACTCGACTGGTCACCTGTTCCAGTCCAGTCTCCTATTGGTTCAGCTCAAGTGTCCCTGAACCACTTTCCCACTCGGCTGGTCACCTCTTCCAGTCAAGTCTCCTATTGGTTCAGCTCAAGTGTCCCTGAGCCACTTTCCCACTCGGCTGGTCACCTCTTCCAGTCAAGTCTCCTATTGGTCCAGCTAAGTTCCAAGCTATCTGAAAACCCTTGACAACGCCCCACTTCGGGCACTTTATTCAGTTTACTGGTTTAAATTGCTAGGTTGATCGAAACGATCGAACTTGTAAAACAGTATGGGTATACTATTTAATTAATATAAAGGTTTTATCCAACTAATCTGGTGTCAAAGTCACTGTCTTTTTTCGTTTTATGGTTTTTGTTCCTTTTTCTATTCTTTTTTGGTTTTTGTTTTGCTTTTTGTCTTTTTGCTCGTGTTTTTGTCCCCCTAGTTGCCCCCCTTTACTCGGTTAGCTAAGCCTCGTTCGGAGAGCGTACCAGGAAATTTTCTCGAGTTTTCTTAAAAAGCTATCACGGTACAACCGGAAGTTTTGCACGTTCCTGTCGAACCGTACCGCCGGTACTCTAGAATGGGCATTCAGCCCGAAGCTGTCTCAAGTGGGTTCGACTCCGTAGTCTTGATGTCGTAAACACCCAGGAGCGCCATAAAAACACTATGTAACATTCGTCTACTGCAGTCACACATGAGGCTTAAGAAAAATAGGCCCTATAACCACTGGCTCAAGGGTCAGGGACACCATCTCTTGTGTTTTTCTACCTCAAGAACGGTCGGAGCCAGTTCGGTTCGTTTGTGACATGAGACCACGACCCGTTACAGCTTAAAGGCTACTACTAAAATATCCCCCCACTCTAGAATTAGAAACGTCCCCATACTTAGGTCTCTAGATACCCAAAATACATGAACGCCGTTAAAAACCGGGTTGGAACAATCCGTTAAGTTACTTTTTATTAGACAGTGTAACTTTGATCCATTTCAGATGGATCAACCTAAAACTCGCCTTACCTCAGCATAACAATTATAAAACACACTCTAGGAATTTAAATTAAGTACTCACATTGTAGCACGCTCAAGAACCAGGAAGTAAATAAGTCGGTAAGCAACTCAAGAATTAATAAAGTAACTAAAATGAGTTTAATGTTAGTCAGTTTTAATAACAAGAACAAGTTTTTACTCTAGACTGTTAGTTCTCGTGAACCATTGGGACACTCTAGCTGTCCACCTTTCCACCGAAGGTTCACTCTGGTCCAGTTAATAATAGTACTCCAATCACAACAATCCAGTTCGTGGGAATGCTCTCGTCTCTGTTTTAGATGGGACAGCTCTACTCTTGTTCTTATCGTGATAGAAATTGCGAATAGCAATTTCCCACCGTTTTATTTAGCAACTTTCCCGCGATTGTTACTCGATCGTTCTCACTTCTCTTTTTTGATTTTCAGTTATCGCGAGAAAATCATGCATGACAGGTTCCATTCGAAATTTTGAAAAATTAAATTTCACTCCAAAATCAAGTGTTTTTTGCTTCTCTCAAGGTCAAACTTCCGAATATGACCGACTGGCACACATATAAAATATAAAATATCAAATCGCTTCCCTCATTATCAATCATTACGGTTTATCTGAATCATTACGCTTTATCGCCGTATCATTGCAATATATTTATAAAAAACATTAACCAGGTAGACCCATTTCAGCTAGGCAACTAGTTTTATGTGAATGATTTGCTTGACTCTGTATAAAATATCTGATCAAGCTGTCAATATAAGTATAGATTTTCAAAACTGGTGACACACTAAAAATGCCAGAAAAAGTTCGTTTTTTTAATCAATTTTAACATTCTTCTTTTTTCGCAGGTCCGAAATGCTTGCGTTGGATATCCAGACGAAAAACTCGGAAACTCAGTTTGCTATAGATCGAAATGTAAAAGTGGACAAACTGTGTTTTCTTACGTCACCGTAGCCGAAATTGAGACTTACAAACGAAACACTTCTTCACATATTGGTTAGTGGAAACTATTAATCACTATTTTATACAGAATTGCCAAAATTTCGGACCGACAATAACTTGCAGAAGACAGCAAAGGACCTATTTCATAAAGATTATACCTTTTTTTTCTGACTTAGTGCAACTTTCAAGATTGACTGAAGAGTCTTTCCAACAGTCTGTTGGCAATGGTGTTGATTGAGGGTTTTGAATTTAACGATTCAAAATTCATTCTGCTGTTTCACAGGCTACAATGAGGAGGTCATTGATTTCGAGCCAGTAGATTGCTCTCCACAGACTAGCGGCGTGTCGATTCTCACAGAAGAGCCCACTATACAAATCAGTACTGAGCCAGACCAAGAAGTTAGAATCTTGTAAGTCTTTGATCACACTAGACCTCTTCGATATGTTTTGTTATTAACATCTGGCAATGATTCAAGCAAGACTATTTTTTCTAATTACAGAGAGCGAGTGGTAGATGGAAAACTTGTGCGCAAGTTGAGCTATATGGGACATGGATTTGGGTTTCATATGCCGAGCGACATGGATGAATCAGAAAGCTGTGACTGCGAAGAGTAGTATTTACTTGAACACAATGCCTGCGACCAAAGAATCACATAAAAGTAGTAGTTTCGAATTATGTCACTTGTGCCTGCTGATACTTGCGATTTCATTAAGTTTAATAATTCACTTAAGTTATTATTGGTCACAGCAGAGTTTCAGAATTCAGCAGATTTTCTATTTTTTTTCCAGGATCCATAAGTGTATACTCGGTAATCATAACATCACGCTTGCGATTAGCAGACGTTATCAGTTCGTGATGTTGATTTTTTTGGGTCAACAAATTTTTTAAGTGTCGATGAACAGGGTTCAGACTCTTGGCGACTTTTTTGTTACTAAAGAAAGTTTGCTGCTTGTTCTTAACTATTTCGGCGTAGTGTATTTTATTTCATGCGCTGAGTTTGATGTTCATTTTTCTTATTACAATTTAAATTCAAATTGCTATAAGAAAGGTAAATAAGGCTATCCACTAAAGAAAAGGAAATGGGACTTGAGAAAATGTACCTAAGAAATAGAAATGAAAAAGGACTACTTGCCTTTTCATCCAATTTTCACAAATTGGGTCAATTTTATGGAAAAAGTCAATCATACAAGAGTCTTGAAATTCAAAGAGCTTTAACTTAATTATTTATAAAAAATAGAGAAGATAGGTTTGAAAGTGTTTTTTGTTAAAGGATTTTAGACTTGTTTTTTTTTGTTGTCGGTTTCAGTACCTAAGTAAACTACTATGTTGTATTTAATTCGGTTCCCTTTTTCTCGGCCGAATCGAGGTTTGAAAATACACAATTTAAGATAATTCACAGCAGAAAATATTGCTAATTTTTTTTCTTCAACTTTTTCTAACTTTTTTGTCGACGTCTTTTGTTTTTATATTCATTTTCTATCCAAAATGACACAAAGCTCCGCTTCGCTTTTGTGTATTAGTGTGCTCCATCAATTCTTTCTGTACTCTTTTTTTTTAGTCTGAATGAAAAAGATGTCCAATATTTTTTGATGAAAATTGTGATATTTTTTGAAAGCATCGTTTTTTTTGTTTGCTGGTCCATTGCTTATTTGGTTCTGTCTAATCACAGTTATCGCACATTGAAGCTTGCGAGCGTAATTTTCAATGGCCAAAATTTTTTTTTATCGCCAACTTTCTTTCAAAAAAATTGTCAAGCGCAGATCGCACATTTTAAATCAAAGTTATGTGCAAAGGTTATGCCAGGGTTCCCAACTGGTCTGGATTGACCGACCTGGTCAATTATGTCAGTAATTGGTCGGTATTTTCAATGTGGTCGTAATTTTTTCTCAGCGGACGTTTCTTCGACATACGACGACACCTGAAGTCCAATTAAGTCCTGGATTGAGAGATTTTTGACCAAGCCGAGTTTTTGAAAAATGTTTCTTTTCAGATATGGGGAAATGCAAACTAAATGATGCAATGAGACGCCAGTTTCCATGGACCGACTCTATCACCGGTGATCTACACTCTGACCGTTGTCGTTTGACCGTAAAATAATCTCCGTTTTGAGCGGGAAAAAGATGCTGGAGACCAACACGCTCATCAAAAGGTTCACTTCGCGGTTGTCACTTCTACAACACTCGGCTACGTCCCGTTGTTACTCTGCAATGAAATATCTTGAAAAAGTGTATCAAACTTGAAATCATGTTGGAAAACTTAAAAACGTGATTCAATTTGAGTACATAAAATGCTGTCAGTTTGATATGCAACTTCTACAACAGAGTGAATTTTGAGGATGCGGTAGTCAACGCTCGACTAGACAAGCTGCTTGCTGAAATTGACAGCGCGTATAAAGCGACATCTCAACTTGAAGCACAAGTACAAGAGGAATCGGCGAAATTGCGCGAGAACGTGGAGGTGTTGAAACGGATTTCCAGCAAAGAGCGATCGAAACAGATCAACATGGCTGAGGAGACAATGCACGACAAGAAAATGGAATGGGATGAGCTTAAAAAGAAGCTGTCGAAGTTTTATTCAGAGGCATAAGCAGTCATTGATCTAGCTGACCGCCAATTGAGTGCAGTTGTGGACTCGATGTTTCATTAATAATAATTTCTTTTTTACTTGTATGAATTGACAACTTCAAACAAAATTTAATTTTCATCTTGTCGAAAATTGCGGGATGTAAAATGTTTTTTTTTGGCCTGCAAAAATCTTTTTTAAGACTTTTTGGTGGTCGGTGTTTTTTTTTCTGAGGGTGTTGGGAACCCTGGGTTATGTATGAGTTACGTATGATCTAGCTGTATCAAAGCGCCTATGTGCTGCCTGAAATCAAAGAGTCAAGTATGCGTGGAAGTAGTTAGGCTAGGCTTGTGGTTAAAAGGTCAAGCAACAAGGCTCCGAGTTCGCATTCCGTAATAACAGGTTATTTTTTTCGAATTCATGTCTCTTTTGTATTTTTTTAAAAACTCGTTTTTGCCGTTTTTTGCTTGCGGTAGCGAAGTGCATCCTGGGCTTTTATGAACAAACATAATACCTAATTCAGAGTCGCTTCTTACCTCCCAAAGTGGTCGGATCATAGCCAACAGACAGTTGGAAAAGAGTAAATGAACGCAATTAAACAGAAAAAAAAATGACTTGTTTCCTGAAAAATCTCAACGCTAATTTTTTTTCGAATAATATAGCTCTTGGTCGATAAAATCAACGCATTTTGAGAAAATTAGATCAATTGGTAAATTTTTTATTTCGCTGGGGAATCTGAAAATGTAATTCCATTTTCGAATCTAGAAGTCGATCCCGTTTTCGGGTTCTTTTAACTTTCGCTGCTTGATAGTGGAGTTCGCCTTCCTTTTAACAAAGGAAAGAACTGAAATTTTAAAAAAAATCAAAAGTCAAAACGCGAAAAAGTAAATGTTCAACAAGGCTTCCTGAAAAAACAGAAAAAAAAATCGTGACCTATATAAGAGTCTGAACTAAGTTCATCGATTCCTAAACATGATGTTAAAAATCACTATTTAGTTAAGTGGTCGGTTATTAAGTGAAGATTCCTATTATCTATAAAGTTCAATTTTCGAATTAAAAAAGCACTCTTAATTGAAAAAAAGGTTATTAGACAAAACTAATCGCTGAAATTATTTAAATTTTCTCAAAAATTTTCCAAAAGCTGTTTTGTGATAGGTTGTGTCTGATTGGTTGATTAGTAGACAAATCTGGCTAAGTTTGGTAGCACCGTGCAGGATATTTTAGTAGCATTAGGCACCTTCTCCCCATCCACGACCAAGTTCATCTCCTCCTTTATTTCCTCAAACTCAATCTCAAACGCCTGAAAAATAAATATTTCAAGCTCACAAATATTTGAACAAGATAACCAAATATTTTGGCATAATCCATTGATTGGATAATGCCAAGTTGTTGGCAATATCCTTTTTGGTCAGTGAATCTGGGCAATATTTCAATGACTATAAAATTGCTGATCGATTGAAAAAATCAATTTCACTAATTTTGCCAGAAATTGGCCATGAACTTCAGTTATCACAGATTTTTTGTAGAATCGGTGGCATTGCGCTTCCTAATTGGTGAAAAAGTGCACGTTTCGGACGTTTGAAATGCTTTAAAATTCAGATCTGAACATCAAAGCGAGCCGTTTTAGCTTAATTATCATCGCTTAGATTTGATGACTGAAAAGGATGTTGCTAGCAATTTGACATTATCCAAAGCTGTTTCATCAAGTTTGAATTACGTACACATGCGTGAACTGAAACAAGTTCGAAACGCGAATCAAGTAACATTTGATCGTTTTTGTTTTGCATTCGTTTGCTTTTCTAACGATACTTCATGAAAGTGTTAACCCACTAATTTTTTGTGCAATGCTTTTTTATTTTTAAAAGTTATAAGTAATAAATTAAAACAAAACAAGACGAAGATGACACCAAGTGAGCTTTGAAAAGCAAGGAGTCTGACCTTGACTGGTTTGAAGTGCATCTCTGGAATGTTGATGTGATCTCCAGTTGAGAATTTGGAAGATAGTTTGAGTAGTTTGGTTCTGCTAATGGGCTGCAGACAGTAGCCCAGTTGGATGCAGCCATCATTCATCTTCGCCTGGGGCGCGTAGCACATGTCACTTCCTGAAATAGATAAAAGTACACTTCAGCAACAGAAAACTGAGTTAAATAAAGTTTGTTTAAGTTAAAGATATAATAATGCGGTAAATTCCTGTCGAATACGGTTGAGGCGAAGCGGAGTTCTTCCGAGACATGTTTTCCCGCTTTCTTCTAACTAGCCTAAGTTCTTCTATATTCGTCTATATATCAAACGGATGAACTGCTGTCCGCTAAGCTGGCAAGATTATTCCAGAACTTAAACTTTCTGGATTAATCTCGAATTTTTTTTCAGGCAATCGCTTCCAGGCTAGATACTACATGCCAGTTTTTTTTTTGCTTACAAGATCCATTTTGTTTTTGCTCGATTGCTTGCTTCAAAAAATTTCCCTTGTTGTGAACCGATCCAAGCTCAAGAAATCGAGAAGTATTTCAAAAAGTCTCTTGATAAACATGCTTAGAAAACTTTTTTGTGAACCAATTCAAGCTTGAAAACAATCTAGATTACTTTTGGAATAGTTGGACGGGGGGGGGGGGGAGGGGGGGGGTATCGGAAAGACCCAAAATAACACCATGATAACCTTAATGTTACTATACGAACCTATATGAGTGACATTTGATGCGAGTATGAACACGAATTGATCCGACTCCTCGCTCTGCCACTTCTCCTCTGGGAATTGGGGGATGAACTCGGAAATGTCAGATGTCTGGGGGTACACTGAGTTGTCCATCTGTGAGTTCATGGTCATCAGGGGGTCTATTATGACTATAGGGGCTAAATTGCGATTAACAGGTGTCAGTGATGTTCAATTTAAGCAATGGAATCCATTAAGAAAATTGGAATCGGTTGGCTATTTATAAAGTTATGAAGGTTTTTTTGGGCATTCGAGAATTTTTTTTGCGTATTCTTTTTAGCTTACATAATCCTAAAGACATTTCTCGTGTAGATTTTTGTTTTTGTTTAAGTCTTACTTTAAACGACTCTAATCGATAAAATTAGTACCTAGAGCGACTCATCGTTTATTGAATTGAGATTTGTTCCGACGGAAAAGTTATGCTTGATAGTTTTTTTATTTCTTTTATATACAACCTGAAAAAATCAATGCCTTGAGTGCAATTTTTGTCTAAAGCTACTCCAGACACCTTAAATGACAGTCAGAATATTGAAAGTTTTGCGCTGATACGAGTAGCTTTGTTTGACTTTAAAGGCTATATCTGGAGATATCTAATGCCCGCTATGGTATAGTAATGGTTATTTGACTTTTTTGTCGGTCACGTTTTTCGTGACCTTTACATTTTTGCTATTCGATAGTGGAGTTTGCCTTCCTTTCAACCAAGGAAATGAGCTGAACTTGAAAAGAAATCAAAAGCCAAATCGTGAAAAATAAATTTGAGCCTGAACAAATTTCAAGACTTCCTGAAAACAAAACGAAAAAAAAGTCATCAAGACTCTTTAAAAAGAAATTGTCTTAATTTTTTTTATAAATAACTGACTGAAAATTTTGTTCCGACGAAAAATTTATGCTTGGTGCCTTTTTATTCGGAGCAACTGACGGGAAGTCTTGTTACGAAGGAAAATTTAGGCTTGATGGTCTTTTTCTCAGAACTATTTCGATTATTTTAATCAGCCATTTTTGACAACTGTTATATATAATCTGAAAATATCGATGCATTTGAGTGCAATTTTGCCGAAAGCTACTCCACACAACTTAAACGACAGTCAAATTTTTCGAAGTTTTGTCCTGATTCAAGTAGTTTTGTTTGAATTTTAAAACTGTATCTGGAGATTTCTAATACCCGCTGTAGTATAGTAATTCTTATGTGGCTTTTTGGTTTGTTTTTTCTACCACTAAAATTTGGGAGCAGTTTTTTCTTCGGGATTATTGTACGTTCCCACGCAAATTTAGGTACAATATTAGATAGTGGAATTTGCCTTCCTTTCAATCAAGAAAATAAGCTGAGCTTGAAAAGAAATCAAAATTCAAACCGCTAATAAGTATATATGTGCCAAAACAAATTTTATGACTTTTCCTGACAACAAAACGAAAAAACAATCATCACGACTCTAAAAAAGAGATATTGTCTCAATTGTTTTAAATAACTTGTCGGAACATATTGTACTGCTTGCTTGCAAATAATTTATTTGTACAGACATTTAATGCTATCGATGTTAACTTGCTCAATGCTGAATGAACAAAATAAAGCGTGAAAACACGAGCTTAATTTGAACGAATTAAGCTAGAATAAGTTTGGTCTAAATTTTAACACATAAGCCAAGTTGCCCAGTGCTAAGGAAAGTAAAAAAAAACTATTTTTCGTTTGGCCAGCCACCCTTTCCAACACAGCTATATAGCCAGTGTGGCGTGGCTGTGTTTATTTCCGCCCACTTTTACGTATGTCATGGAAAATTCGTAAGTATTTAAGTGCGGTGTCAATTGCCAGTGCTTTTATCCGCGTATTTACGATTGGGGCGTGGGTGAACGCAGGGTTTCGACACCCTGACCACTCAAAGGCTCCCCTTCGGTACTACGTTGGGTGCTGCTACTACCTCAAAATTAGTATATATTGACATCCAAAAACTCCTTTAAACTTAATAATGGTCAGCAAAAAATTGATGGCCTAATTTTTTTAGAGTCGTCTTTGGGCGTCAATGTATACTAATTTTGAGGAAGGAGCAAGCGCCGTAAAACACGGCACTGTAAATTTGTTGAAAGCGGGGTCTTTGTCGTGATTTGTAACAGCTCGGAAAACAGTTTAAATCGAAGTATAAAAAATTTTTCTTTTGAAAATCCGCTCTTTCGAGAAAAAACTAGATCCGTCCCTGCTCATCATTTCAATTTAAACGTGGCCTTACTTGTACTTTTTATTCAACTTTATTAAAGTGATTATTACCCCCTCGTTTTCGCTTTTTCAAAATTTAATTCAATCGCCCTTTACTAAAGAAAAACAGGTGGTTTAGAAAAATCAAAAAATTTCGACTAGGTTTTTCTTTGTTTGATTTTTTCATAAACCATTGTGGTCAAAATATGATGTCTTAAATGCACAGCAAATAGCTCTACTTGTTATATTGCAAATTATTTTCAAATGATCATCACTGGTGGGTGTGGTAGTTGTAGGGTATAGTGAGGATGATGGTTGGCTGTTGTTGTTGTTGTTTGTCGTGGAAGATTGGGTATTAGTAGGTGTTTGGGTTGCTCTGAGATTGGTTGGGCGAGATGATCTCCGAGAGCCTGTTTGGAATCTGAAATATAGTAAAAATCATTTAGATTGAATTAATCGGGTTTGTTAGCAATTCACACTATGCTACCTAGTAGCGACCATTAAAACTTATCAAATGGCCAAGCATATAAACTTTTGCAAAGAATTAGCCTTGTTCAATAATATCGCGAATTATCTCAATGAAGTCCAACTAAATACAAAATTGTAATTGTTCCGACTTTTGAAGAAAACGGAATATTTATTTAAGACAATTGGTAGATAATAAAATATAGATAGAAGTTCCCAACATCATAGCTCTTTGTTATCGTAGATAGCTAAAAAGCATGCTGAAGTATTTTACAATGAAGCCTTAATTGGTTTTTAATCATTCATAATCAATGAACTTCGTGAAACCAATTATCTCATATTCTAATTCGGTTACTTCTGTGTCAAAAAAATTATATAAAAAAATTGAAATGCAAAGATTCACCAAAATTTTCTGTGAACAGTTATAAACAATGGAAAAGTTTTTAAATTAATGGCAATTTTCACTGCCGTTTACTTCTATTGACAATTAAAAATACTAACTTTGAGGGGTTTTGTTGTACTGCGTTTGATTTCATGAATTTTCTTCCAGCACCATTTTTAAAGTCACCATTCGCACAATCTTGACCATCCAAACCATTTCCGTCGAACGTGTCTCGCAAATTCTGGTTGCTCATTTTGTCAGCCTAAAAATTAACAAACCCTAACTAACTGAAAGTTGGAAAAGTGTCATTGAGATCATAGAGACCGAAAAAACTAAATGATTGTTTTTTTTCTAAAGTTTTTCATTTATCGTGTTTCAAACAAAAAAAGTCATATGGCTTTGAAATTCTTTGAATTACAAAAAACAACGCATTATATGTAGGGAGTTTGATGAGAATGATGTTTTGATATAGCCAGCTAAGTTTTATGAAGTAGAAATCTGTTGGATGACTGTTTGGTGTTACTCAAGCAATCATATCAGACTCGTAACATCACGGGCTGAGTGATCTTCTTTTTTTTTTTAAAAAAAACTATTGAATTATGAAATCTAAGCAGTGCATTTGTTTTAGGTTAAAAGCCATTTTTGCGTATCCACTAAAGAAAAGAGGGTGTTTATACAAGGCGTTCAGCTCTAGGCAGGGGTTGTACCCCTGCTTACGAGCCACGTTATTTTTTTTGGTTGTTTTAAGCTGGGGTGTATCGCTGCACTTTCGCAAGAAACTTGGTTGCTGGTGGGACTCGATACACCTACCCATGACTGTTAGTCGGAGTCCTTAGTAGGGCATGGAGCGGTTAATTTTTTTTTAGCCGGTTAAATTAATATGACCGGCGAAATTGTTCAGCAGAGGTTTCTGCAGTCGGTTCTCTTCAAGAACATTTCCTGAATTTTACGATAAAAGACACCTTCATCTTTCTTTTGAAAATTTTTATAATTGAGTGAATTCGAAAATTGAGTGTTTTCAATTGTTTTTCGAAATTTATTCGGTTAATTCAACCCATTTAACCGGTTAGACTAAAAATTTGACCGCTCCATGCCCTAGTCACAATACCACTGCTTCCCAAACAACAAAATTAATTGAGTCGAACTTAAAAATGAATAATGTTACTAACTTCCATTTTGGGTTCGCCTTCGTCGTCAAAAAGTGAGTTTTTCTCTTCATTATTACTCTTATCGCCTCTGGGTTCGATATTTTCTACATTTTCTATTGACCCGTTCTCCTCGCGTGTTTTAAGCGGTGCTTGTTGCTCTATCTTTTCTTCATCTTGGTAATTAGCATCTTTTTGGTCATCGGCGAGGATTGTTTCGGGTGTTTCTGTGAAATTTTCACCAACGTAAATTTCAAGTCCATTTGTTTCTCCCGGCGAACTTGATTCTTCATTTCCATTACCATTAGGTAAGTTATTCTGGTCATGAGAATCAGGGTTATTAATAATATTACTGTTATCGTTTTTACTGCTACTTTGAGCAGTTTCTTCTGTTTTGCGCATAAGTTCTGGCGTGCTCGGGATTTCGTTTGGATATTTAGCGAGAGTTGCGAGTCCCTTACGTTCGCTTTTGGGTGTCTGGGGTTTGTCGAAGTCGTCTTGAAACTTGTCCACGTAGTTTTCGGGTAGACTTAGTTGACTGGTTCCGTTGGTGATTGAGCCTGAAAACAAAATGGATTATAACAAATCAAGTAGGCGGATTGTTTTTTAAGCTAGCGAGCAGCTAGTGTTTTAGTATGAATCTTCTTTTTTCTAGCCTAACTCGCAAATAAAAATTCATAAAAGTGTTCACTTTTGTGCCAATTACTAAAATCACGATCTGTATCGGAAATTCAATAGCCTCTGCTCTCGGCTTTATTTGTGGCTAGTGTTTGTGAAGGACTAAGCGTCCCTGGCTGCTTGGTTAGTGTACGAGACGAGTAATTTTTAGGTCGTAGGTTCGAGTCCGAGACGTCGCCGAATTTTTTTTTTTATTCGAGGCCTATCTTTTTTTTTCATTGCACTTTTTAGAACTCTAAAGCTGCTTTTTGTCGTGTTCTTGCTAGTGTTTAATTTTCTTGCATTTTCAAAGCTTCTTTTTAACGTTTGTTTTTGATTGTGTTTGCGAAGTGCATCTTCGCCTCTGTCAAAGTTTTGCAGCAAAGGCAGTTATTATTGCTGCAATGCCAATGGTATATCGGATCAAGTTAACATACTCCCCCCAGATAGACCAAGTTAAGATCTTCCACCCCAGCATATAATTCGGATTAAATTTGCTAAGAGCTGCATGCAAAATGTTCGGTTCTGATTGGCTGAAAATTCGTAATTTAGAACCAAGTTAACATCTTCCCCCAAACGGCTTTGGGGGGAGGATGTTAACTTGTTTAGTTCGATATATCCTTTAGCGCTCTATGATGTCTTTAAATCTACTTACAGTGTTAGCACAGTTAATTTTGGCGGATTCGGTTCGCGTACGTTTTTTTCATAAGCTTTTGTATGTTTTTAAGGCAAGTTAATGTAGTTTTCACTGAATATTATTTATTCTATCTATGAGATTAAGTCAAATTTTAAATGCGAAAATTTCGGGATTGTCAAGTCACATTTTTTCATTTACGCGAAAGGGTTGGGAGTAAACTAAACCGCCGGGTATATATTTATTCCAGATTTTGACTGTCGCAATAAAAGCTTTAAGCCATGATTCGCATACAAAAAAATTGAAAGTTTGTCGCATCGTGGATAAGAACTCGTCTAAATATTTTCTTTTTCAGTATAAATTGGACGAAATTTTATTAGAAGCTGACCTACCTAGAAGCTGATCTACTTTAATTCTACTTAATTTTTGACATTCTTTTACTATGATTATTTAACTCCATCTTACACTCCTTAAAATTTTCAGTCATTTTCTGCCAAAACAAAAATACAAGAAATTAACTTTTTAAATTTTTTAAATCAGATGATGGTGGTCGAAACGTTCTGTGCTGCTTGCACAGCAACTTTAACCTCAATGAAAGCCAAATTTGCAATAGTTTTTATTTGGCTGATAGAGGTTTGTGACTCAATTCTAGTCTGTTTTTGGTTTCATATTTTTTACCGCAGTTTTTGTAATTTTGTTTCACGCTTCACACATGACGCAATATCGCAATATCTAAGAGTTGGACATTGTATCTGCTTGTAATTTATTAATTAATAAGGTTCATTTCTTGGTATTCTGGCTTAAATGTCATTTGTAATTTTTTTAAAACCGTATTTTCTGAACTAAATTTGTATTCGATCTTTTTCTGTTAGTTTTCTTATTGAGTTATTTTTAATAATTGCGGTATAGCGGAGCTTCGCCCCTGTGTTTTTATTTTTAGTCTGAATCCAAGCTATTTTTTAAACCTTTATTTAGGCTTTCATAGCCGTTGTAATAGCATTTAACCTTTTTTTATGCTTCAATTCTTTGCTGGCAATGAGAAGTTAAATAAAATATAAAAAAGACGCAAAAATTGCTATTTTTTTCATCTTCAATTTTCGAAAAAATTGTACTCGAGTATCACTTAGAAGCTTATTTTATAATATTTTGTTTTGTTCCTCTCATCGCACTTGCTCGGCAATCGTATGTTCTTGTTTTTGTCAGTTGATTTTTTTGTCAAATGATATTTTTTGTGAAATTCAATTATCGGACTAATATTTTTCTGATTTTTTAGTTGGATTACTTTCCATATCTTCTTCTGGTCGAAGCAAGTTTTGGTAGAAAAGAAAGACGCGATTTAATTCTGTAATTTGTAAGTTTGCGGCCTCTTATTTTGTATAGTTTCTTTTGTTTTCTTTCTCTTATAGGTTTTCTTTACTCAAAAGGTTTATTCGGCTAATATGCTGATAATTTACCTTATCTTGCGTCGCTTTAAGAGCAATAGTATATTTTATGCCTTTGTGCGTTTCTTGAGAGGACAATCTTTGAGTTGCAAAACTTTATAGCCCAAAATTATTTACGTAAGCTCTAATAGGTAGCGCCCTATAAAAATTCCTGTTTGCTAATGTTGCACTCTCGATTATGTTTCGCGTATTTTTTTATCTGAAATTGACCATCATTCGAGACAAGCGAATATGGTTTAGTAAATATAATTTTTTCAGTTCGGATTTTTTCCGACTAAGTGGCCTCCGCCTCATTTTCTACCTTTAAATTGCATCGCAAGCGATGCAAAGCTCTGATTCGCCTTTGTTTTGATTGTAAGAAAACGATTGAAAATTATCATTTTGTATTGTTCTGACCTGACTGTGGGGTTTCCTGTGGCGTTGCATCCTGATTACTAGCAATAACATCATTCAGATTCGGACTGGGCCGCTTCTTCTTCCGTCTCACACTGCCAATAGGAGACTCCCTCCCTCCCCCTTTTCCACCCCCTGCTCCCCCTCCTCCCTTCCTCATCTGCTGTTCCTCCACCCACACATTAGTGAGGTTGTAACTCGGCGTGACTGATCGTTGAGGCGTGTCATATCCGTTGTCAGTCCTGAAAAAGTATGTTTTTATTCTTAACTTAGCTTCAAATTACCACAGTGTTTTTGTTCAATCGTGTTTTTTTTTCTATTTGATTCGAAAAGGAGTGAAATAAGATCTGCTTAAACGCGATGTTATTTAAAATTTAAAACTCATCAACTTTTAAAAAAAATGGGATCATCGCTGCCTAATATGATAATCACAAGAGTACGGAAAAGTTTTCGACTTGAGGCTTACCTATCTGTACATGCTGATGCCCTATTACTGGGTACAGCATCTGAATCATCTCCAATTCCGATGTGGGTTCGTGAGTTGTTTGGGGTTAGAATACTGTCGCCAACATCTGGATTTCTACCGTCTCTTACTGTTCCAAATTCGTCACCGACCCCATTTGGCATGAATCTAAAATCGTGATATAGAAAAATCGAATGGTGGTGAAGTGGTTACGTCTCCACCTCTCAATCGAAAGGCCGGATGTTCGAGGCCCACCGTGGTCCGTGCTCGTTGCTTGAGGTTGACGCAACATTACCCAGCCCAGAAAAATAGCCAAAAATGAATTCTACTTTTGCCAAGTTTGAATAAAAGTTACAACTAAAAGGTGAGAAAAAATGTTTTTGCTGAGTTTTTTTTTGCTTTTTGCGTTTTTTGTTTTCAGTTGAACTCTTTTTCTTTCTTGGTATTTTAATTAACCGTGGAAATAGCAAGGGATATCGAAGTTCAAATTTTCGTCAAATATAGTTTTTGCATGTAGTGTTTTTAGAGCTGATTTCTGCATACATTTTTTCTTAGTTTGAAGCTGTTATATGAAAAAAGCTCATTTTAAAAAAAAAGTTATAGTTAAAGACAATTTTCATTAATGTCTACTAACCCGTTCAAGTATCTGTAGTCATCGACCATGACAGTCTCTGAATATACTTCCTTCTCCACAGGTTTCGCACTCCCCGCTCTATTCTCATCGTTACCATCCCCTCCGTCTCGGATGCTGGGGGGCTCCCTCACTATCTCAATGGCATTGAAGGGCTCTTTAGATTTGTGCTCCACGTAGCGTAGCTTGGCCCTGTAGTTCTGGTTCAGCATTATTTTGGCGATAGACCACACGGTGAATCTGAAGTCAGATTTAGTTCAAACAATTGAAAATGAAATAATAACAATGGGGGATCCTTGACTACTAGGTCTTACTGCTGATATGAAGGTCCGCGAAACGTTCGAGTTTTTTTGAAAAATTTCCTCCTTCGTAAAATTTGGAAATGACTGCTAGACTGAATTTTGAATTGACTATTTTCATCTGTGATGGGATATGGGATAGATTAAGGGTTTTCTCGAATAATGGAGGTATTTTATAATAAAATTTAGGGAACATTTAGGGTTGGGCCGAAGTTGGTTTTGGTGAATTAGTACAAAAGAGGGGGTTCGAATTGCCGAGGGAGAAAAAGTACTGTCCCCCTGCGCGCAAAGTTGGGCGCTGGCTGGGTTTGTGACGAGGATGTTTGAGGAGTAGCAGAATGTACCTGGTCTCCCCCATGAATCGGATGACTTCTGAGTTGATGTCGATGTCTGCCAGTGCCCCCCAGGAAACACTGAGGAAAGAGTAGTACTCCTGCTGTCCCACTCGCACATAGGTCACATCCAGGGGTCGAGGCTCGCCCTTGAGGAACCTAGAAAGAGCAGAAGATGAGTATTAAGGAAGAAATACTACCGGTTGCATAAAGGGTCAAATTGAGCAACCTAAGAGTTGAAACTGTTGCGAATTATTGTCCTTTTCTGAGGGGGGGGGGGCTATTATTCTCATGACCGAGAGTGGCCGTGGCTCAGTGGGTAGAGCACGCGTCTCTCAACATGAGGGGTGTGTCCGAATCTCTTTTCGGTCACTGTTGGAGTGATCTCAAAGTCATCCACATCCTCAAAGTGGGACCGGCTACGGCTAAATTGATGACAAGCTCCTTCGCCCCGCACGGATGGTGCTGCATTAAGTAGGACCGTGGGTTCAAAAAATCTTATGACCGAAGCACGGAATGTGCAAAATGTTTTCATTCAGTCATGTCCTTACTCCAAAACTGGCTGATTTTCACGCTTATGTCAAATTTTTGAATACTTAATTCTGGTGGGCTAACATAGTTTTCGGACATTCTGGCAATAGGTATTCACCTCTTTCTTTCTTCGACTTGAATAGTTGAATAGAATAAGAACTGAATTCGCATAATCTTTTACTGAATGATGATGAATTCTTGATATTTTTTTTTCGGTTGAGCTGACCTGAACATGGAGTTGACCTGTTGATTGGCCACACTCATCTCGTGTTTATCGTGCAGTACACTACACACTAGTCCATTCCCACTGCCGGCTGGAATGAGTCCAAGGGGAGTCTGGATGGCCCTGCGCCAGTCACTCCTCTTCATTAGTGCATTCACCACCTATGTAAATAGAAAAAAAAACACATTAACATGTCCTCCTGTCAACCGAAAGGTCAGAGGTTCGAAGCCCACCATGATCCATGCTCGTTGATGGTGAGGTAATGTTACGTAGCCCAAAAAAAGTTGCGCATAGTTCTTATCGAGGTGCGCAAAATCGGTTTTCCTTAAAGAGTCGAACAGCTCGTATGTTGATCCGTTTCCTAGCCGTTAAATGATTTCAGCCGTAACGTAATCTTTCAGTTTAGCACATATCAGTTTTTTTATTATCAAACTTCTGAAATTTGTGTAATAATCACTGATTCGCTGTTTTAAATACCCATTGTACAGTTTCAGTTTCTTAAAGTTGCAATTTATTGAATACAGCTGGATAGCCAATGAAGTTTCAGATACCTCGTATAAGATGCCATCTCCTCCGATGAGTAGAATGGAAGTCCATTTTGAGAGGTTCTCTGACATGATGACCTAGAAATTAAAAGTTGCTTGCGATTGAATATGCGGATCTAGTTTTTTTGGCGAGGAAGGAGACTGATTTTCGAAAGTTCTGTCAAATTTAGTGTTGATCAAAAAAATTGTTTGTTTGAGCTCCGTCAAAACACTTGAAGGCCATTTTTCTCATATTTTTTTTCACCACAGGCGGGTGCTTCAGAAGAAAAAGAAGAATAAATTACACTTTTATAAAACGTGCTACAAAATTTACAAAGAGTTACAATTATTTCAAAAAATGGAGTCATCAGATTGCACTTAAAAACTTTGAAAGACATCAAGAATCAAAAATCTTCTGGAATTTTGCTCCAAGCGACAGTAGCAGAAGAAAAAGAAGGGTGGCTCTTCTTCTTTTTGGTCCTGCAGTCTTGGTAGTTTTCGAGATATGACGTTTTTTATGATTTTCTCCGAAATTTTCTAAAAAACTAAAATGTTAAAAAACTCCAAAACTTTGAAGATCTCAATCCTGTTATTGGAGTCTGTGAGAGTAATCTCATCTCAGGGGATTGCGAATCTTTCCTCTGAATGTGGCTGCTCAAATTTTTGTAGTTTTCGAGATCTGACGTTTTTATAGGATTTTTTCAAAATTTTGCCTCCAAATAGGACTGCTCGAAATCTTGCAGTTTTCCAGATATGACGTTTTTTGTGATTTTTTCAAAAAATTTTTTTATGAAAATTAAATTATTTTTTTTTGAAATTCCTAACCTGTAATTTGGGGGCTGTCAGAGTAATCTCAGGGATTGGAATTTTGGTCTACAATTAAGAATGCCCAAATCATTTTTGTTTAAGAGAGATACGACGATTTTTTGGAAATTTTCAGAAAACTCAAATCACAAAATAATTTGTTTAAGTGAAATTCCCAACCCTGTAGTTGTGTACTTTCAAAGATTGCGAATATTGCCATCAAAAAAGATTGCTCAAATTTTGGTAGTTTTCGAGATGTGAATTTTTTCTGGTTTTCAAAAAATCCTCTTTTACAAAACTTTATGTGAAGTTTCTCAAAATTTGAATTTCCCAACGTTTTAGTTGGGTACTGTAAGAGCGCTCTCAGGAGATGCAAATCTTGCGTCCAAATGCGACTGCTCAATTGCTTTCAGTTTCCCAGATGTGACGTTTCTTAATACACTATATACTTAGATATAAAAAAGAGGCCCAAATTTTTATGGTTTTTTAAAATTTGAATTGAAAAATCGAATGAAAAATTTTACAAAATTTGAAGTTACTCTCAGGAGTTGCAAATCTTGCGTCCAAATGTGACTGCTTAATTGCTTTCAGTTTCCCAGATGTGACGTTTCTTAGTTCATTTTAAATTTTTCGAAGAGCTTCTATAAAACTTCATAAAATTTTTTATGGTTCTTCAAAATTTGTAAAAAAGAAAACTTGACTAAAAAATTTTGCAACATTTTTCATTATGAACCCTGTAATTGGGTCTTTCAGAGTACGCTCAAAGAATAGTTTTTTTTGAGTTGTTGAAAGTTCGAAGCACCGGAGGTGCTGTACAAGCTAGTTAATTCTTATGGCCAATTGCCATATTTTGCTTATGCACACGCGAAGTTCTTGCTGTTTACCTGTGAGGCGTGTCCTGGTCCAGTGGTTACTATGGATCTGAACTTGTAGCTGGCCTCCACCAGCATAGGGGCCACTATGTTCCAGTATGTCTGCATGCCCTTCTTCCGCCCACTCGCTGGGTTGATGATCACCAACACTTTCTTCTCTGGCCACGACCGGTTCGAGATTCGGTCTCTAAATCCAAACTTGCAATGCCAAGCTGAATATCTGAATAATTTTCGAATAACCCTTAATCCGATTTGGTAAATGGAGGTTGATAAAACTTTTAACGTTTTCTTTGAGCGGCCAAATTGATATTCCGGGCTCTTCAAAAAAAGGTTTTTGATTTTTTTTTAGCTGAGTTGTATTTTTCTAAAGCAGCATCGTCGCGAATACAGACTAATTTTGAGATGAAAGCTTAATTGATGTTTAGTCAAAGCGTTCCAAAACAGTGGCCGTGACAATAAATGGCATTTATAGATAAATATGGTCTTTTCAGCAGGATTTAATTTTTCTGTTTACATCCAAATTAAGTTCAATCTATTACTAGTTCACTAAATATGCCTTGTCTTTTCAGTGATTTATTAATTTTTCTCTTTTGAAACTACTTGAAGGATAAATTTTTGATAACTGTCTCAACTGTTTTAAACTAGTTTTATAAATAAATTCCCACAACCTTGACAAGTCTGTGACTCCTCGTAGGAGTAGGTTGAGTGCCTTGTGCCATAGAGTACATGTCTTCCAGTTCTCATCCGAGTCCCCCTTGTCAAACACGAACGTGATCGACTCCCGCTCCCGCCGACCACTCTTCTTGCTCAGTCTGTAGGCGTAGACTAAAACACACAAAGATACGTACAAAATAGTAAGCAAAAGTAGCATGGGTATAGTGAAGATGTGAAACTGTTTTGAACAATTAAGAAATAAAAAGTTAGCCACTGTTTTGGGAATTTTTTGACACAATTTGACACATTTTTGGCCCAATGTTCGCAAAAAACTTTGTTTTCAGTCGATAATTGTAGACAAGGTTTCACGTTGGATGTCAATCTTGTCCATTTAATTGGAAATTAAGTACGGGCTTCACTATCTCGTCAATCTTAGGCTTTTAGCGATAGTTTTCTCGCCATGTTTTAGCTTTCGAGTATAAATGACGGGTTTTTTTATGTTATGTGTATACAACAGTTCTTTTTGTTGCTTTAATTGTAATTTTCATGTTTTTTAAGCTCGTTAAGGGCTGCGAATTGAGACCGAAGCTATGAGACTTCCAAACCCTGTAATTTTTTAGATATAAGGCGGTTTAACAGAATTTCCACAAAGATCATAGCAAACACGACTGCTCTTCTTGCTTTTGTTTATTTCTTTCATGTAAATTACCATTTTATAAAGCGTCCAAGGTGGCGTTTTTAGACTTAAAATTATAGACTCCCAAAGTTTACTAGGACTGGGGTTTTTCCTTTAAAGTTTTCGGAATACAATAAAAAGTCAATGAACGTAAGTACACAAAAAATTTCGAGTGGCAAAGAAAACAATAAATGCCTTTAAAGCTGTTTGAGTTTCTAGAACAATTGATGATTGGCCTTTTTTTGATAAAATAACTCTATGGCTGCTTACTCAAAAAACCAAAATTGGTCTTTCAGAATCTATGGCTGCTTACTCAAAAAACCAGGAATTAGATTTTTTTATTACGGAGAAAAATATTTTGCAATAGCAAACATTGCAAAAGCTAAGATCGCCGATCGCTTATATTTCCTCCAGCTCTCAGCCAATAAAATGTTTAGCATTTACAACTCAAAAGATTTGAGACTAAAGCTGAGTTGAAAGACGAGGACAAACAACACGCTTGTGAAGTCGAAACTCAAGGTTATCGAGCCCTTAAAAATTAATTGACTGAGAAAACTGGATCAATAAGTAAAATTATTATTTCGCTGAGAAATCTGAAAATTAAATTCCACTTCGGCTCAAATCTGAGAATTGAATATCGACTTATGTTACACATGCAAAATCAGGTATAACAAATAACAAATAATCCAGTACCACAACTGGGTTGAGTGATATATTACATTAAAGCCCGCACAGTCGTAATTCGAACCATATTATCACATTGAAAAAGAATTTAAAATTTTTTTCCCGGTGTCGAGAAAAACCGGTTTGAAATTTTTGATTTTTCGTCTTATATATCTGGCGAATAAAGCGAGCGAGCAGTTTTATTCTATTTGCTTAAAAGCTTACAAATTACAAAATCCAAACAACTGCAAAAAAACTTTTAAAAAATATGCGAAATATGAGTTTTTCTGTTTTCTAGTAATTTTTCTAGAAAAATTGTTTTTCAGTTTGCTTATTTAAGAGTGGCTGCCGAATTTACCGAGTCGCCAGTTTTATGTTCAGCTCATTTTATCACACCACGTTGAAGAAAAAACGACAATAGTTGGAAAAAACTTTCTTGTCTTTTTAAGACCATGGTCGGAAAATTCTGTGCTACTTGCTCTGTAACCGGATATCCTTGTTAAGTCTTAAATTTTTTTTTCGGCTTTTTTCAATTGTTTTCTTTTTCTTAAGTTTAATAGATTTCGGTCTATATTATATTGGTTTAGTGGTCTCAATTTTTTCCATTATACGGCCAAAAAATTTTTTGTTTATTTAATTGTTTTGAGCGTGAGGGGAATTTCTTAACTTCTTACCAGTCGATTTCTTGATTTTTTTCGGGTGATGTATTTTCAGCTAAAGTATTTTTGGCTTATTTACAGCTTGGCAATTTGTTTCCGAGGCTTATTTAACATTATGTTATTTTGGCATGTTTTTGTTTCAAATTTAGCCGTATTCATTTTGATAAGTCTTTTTTTCGACATTTCCGAATTTTTTCGTTTCTTTTTCAGATTTAGTGGCTTTTTTGTTTTGTATCGCAAGCAGTGCGAAGTGAGGCTGGCCTCTGTGTTATAATTATAATTATTATTATTATGGTTTCTATTATTATTAATATAATTATGATTATTTTTATCTTTATAATGCTTTTGTTTCAATCTCCAACCGTTGGTTCATTGCTGAGAAACAGATATATTCTGATTGGCTCGTGTAACTATAACAATGTATAATAACAGCACACATTCTATACCAAGTATATACCTCTTCAAGTGTAGACGACAAATCTGAGTCTACTCTTTTAAAAACAGTTGGTTGAACGATAGAAATCAGATTCAGACCGCTAAAACAGACCAAAAAATAGAAGTAACCATCGGCATAACTTCAAGTTATCATAACCGTGTTTCATTACGAGACCAAACTGTACACTAGATAGTTGCACAGTTTGGTTTGTGTAGGTCACAGAGGTCCACACAAAGTCCTCAAACTTGTTAAAATTTTGTCGGCACGATCGAAGGAAACAAGAACAAAAAAGATCAAAGAGAGCGGTCTTATTGCGGATTCTGCTTGTAATTGCCAAATACACAGTTTGACCCCGTAATGTTGAATGTTTTGCCTCCTTTCAAAGTGAGGTTGACCTTTTGACCTTACTTCTGAAGTATCCTTTCATATCTAGCTTCTCATTGCCCCTCATGTGATGACAGCCTGTGACGTCACACAACATCATCTTCTCAAATTTGCCAATGCCACAACCTCTGTTGAAGTAGATGGCCTCCTATTCAGTAGTACAGTTAAGGCCACAGTTACAGTTGGCATTACAGAGGTGAGAGAGATTGGGGCTTATTGTGTTGTTAGAGGGTGTTCATGACTCAACATTAACCTCTTAAGAGCTTCTGGCTTTAAACTTCTAACAACTGTGAAACCAATCTTAAAACCATGGTACACGTTTTCGTCCTCTTGTCCTTTTTCCTTTCCCCTTTTGAAAGTTCTTTCTGGTACAACTTTTTTCATGTCTTATGATAATAAAATGCACCATATTAACTGTTTACCCAAATCCAATCAAATTTTGTTGTCGGAGACAACATTGTTTACTACAGGTTTCATTACAAAATTGATGTTTACATGGTTAAGGTGTGGGATCCAAAAATTCAATTTTGATCTTCTGAGTTTTCGCACCATGTGAACAATCCCCCCTCCCTCAATAAAAAAGTTTATGGAGGAGATTGTTCACTTTGTTATCATTTCGTTATTTGTCTTCTGGTTTTTTGTGGATGGAAGGGGGGGGGGGGGGGGGGGTTAGATGGTTCACTTAGTTGGGGGGGGGGGGGAGGGGTGTTAACGTGGGCTGAGCGTTCCTCTTTCATCTCTACTCTGTAACGTGTGTGTGTAACTGTGTCTTGCCTGAGTGAGGCATACGAATGTGTTTTTGCTCTTGTTGATCACTGTCTCTGGCAGCACACATATCCACTCTATCCGCAGTATCTCCTGCATCCTCTTCGTGTCTTCCAGACTTCGGTACACCAGTGGACTTCCGTTCTCTAACACTGACATTTTCACACTGCTTTCAAAGAACAACTTCTGTTTTTTTTTGCTATGAGGGTTTAGATTTTTTTCGCTGCAGATAATTGGTTTCTTGTCAGCTTGCAAATTTTCGAGAATAACTTCGGCTTTTTTCTCCAAGATTTGGCTTGCTGCGAATTGTTAATTGTCCTTTTCGTGTGCTTGCAGTCGTCAAAATTTTCGATAACAAATAATTTGATTTGCCTCAGAGATAAATTTTGTTGCTTATTTCGTTTTTGTTTGCACGAATATTTCCCCGAGAAAGGCTGGTAGTTGAGAAAATCGATTTTGTTAAGCGTAGCGTCTGATCTGAAATTGGATCGTTTATACGTATAGGACGGAATTTCGTTTCGCTATCGGCTGTTCTTGTTTCTGTTCATTAGGTTTTGATAGTGATTGAGGGTCATTTATTTTGATGCTTAATTAAAGAGGCTTTCCGAAAGCGTAATAATATATTTCAATGAGATAACTGTTTAATAGGGGCTTTTTGGTTGCTTTAAAACTCACTTTCACTAGATTTGAGCTGTTTTTTTTTGCTATAATGATAATTTGATATCTTAGTTTTTATTCAAATTTTTGGATGATAAAATTTAAGTTGATCTCAAAAAAATTATGTTGTCCACAATTTAACCGAGGAGCAATTAAATAAGGTTTCAAAGCAAAAGTAATTCAAGTTCAAAAGTACTAAATTGTATTTTTTGGAGCTAAAAAAATTATGAGAGTCGAACGTTCAATGAATCAAAAATGGAGCAAGTTTAAACAAATGAATTGGAGAAGATATAATTAATTAAACAAGTAATTAAGACAGTTTTGCAATTTGCAAGAGCTGCTAGGGTATCGCTTGGAAGATAACGTCTTTAAAATTTGATAAGTAAATGCAGATTTTGATTATTATATATTTTTGATCTGATTTTTATCGGCTTTTGCGTCTCTGTGTAGATGAATGATGCGAAATAATAAGAAGTCAAAATTGGATGTTCAGAACAAAGATACCCTCGAAAGTCAAAATAGGTACACTCGGTTTAATCTATTTCGAAACTCGGTTAATAATAGCCGAACGAAGAAATGTCGAACAGACTTTATAGTTCACATCAGTTTAAGTCGTATGTTTTAACATGGGAAGGAAATAGGTGTGATGAGAATGATTATTTTCGAAAAGTAGAAATAAATTTTCAAAGGTGAAGGCAAACTAAATTAGTGAATTCGCTCAACATTTTACTCGTCAGGTTTTGATATTATTACGAAACCCGTGAAAATTAGGTGGATTAAAATGGTAATATAACATGGTGTTATATAACTAAACTGATATTCAAATTCAATGATAGTATTTATTGAAGTTTATTATTTTGTAACTTGCGAAAAGCTCGATCGGTTATTTTGTTTTGTTTTCCTTAATGAAGTTCAAGCTTGCTGTAGGCTAACAGTTTCATAAGTTTGTTTATTTCTCTTAGTGAAACAAAACACTCACAATATCGAATGAAAAATGATTCTAACTAATCTTCTAGCTTCGAAAAAAAAACTGACATCGAAGACTCATTTGCTGCGTCACATTAGCAATTTGAATAGTTTAAGTTGGTTTTTATCTTAGTGGTTAGACGAATGCTTATCAGATATTTTATGAACGTTGAAGTTGTTAAAAAAGACTGAAAATCAGTGAGTCATAACATGAACAAAACTCATCATTACTGACTGCGAAAAATTCAAATATGGCAATTATTGATGGTTTTTAACGAGACTGTGATTTAATGATTTTGTGATTTTGGAATTTTAATGATTTTGTGAAAATTCAGGAAAGTGTTGAGAGTCGGTGTTCCCAAATATGGAAAACATTTCTACGGCATTCCTATCACCGGGCATTTCTATTTGTTGACTCAGCTGTATATCGACATTAGAAGCAAACCGTACAATTAATTTTCCTTGCTCGAATATATAATACTCTTAAATGAAATAAAAAGCTTTTTAGCTTTACTTCAGTTTTCGTCTAAATTTTACTTTCGATGTATTGCCCAGTATAAGCTGACATTAAACAATAAAATTTGCGAGGCAAAATTTGTTTTCTCGCCTCACTTGTTTGCGTGCCAACATCCAATTTTTACTGACCTCGACATTTGCGAACAAACAAACCAGGCGTCCTTGTGTTAACTTGACACGTTATTAATCCTCTTCCTTTTGTGGTTTAAAAGCATAAAGGCCAAATATTGGACTTGTTCCGAATTCGAAAAGTTAACCTTTGAGTTTTGAGAAATCTGCAAGGCAAAAATAATGCAAGACATGTTAATTTATCACGCAGATCAGCGTGAATGAAAGTTTTGAACGGATGATTTCGTTAAGGATGGGCTTAAACTTGATGTTTTTAGGTTATTTCCACAACCTTCGTACTTTCGACGCAAATCACAGCGCACAGAACTGTGGCAATTGTTTGAACGTCCTTGAATGTGCTTCATGAACGTGAAAGGATTTTAGTTTCGACTTTCCAGCGCAAAGTCGGGTTCAAAAAATCCAATTAGCTCGGTTTAAATATCACAGTAAACCCTGTATTTTTGTGAATATAATTGTAATGAAACACAGCCAACAGACAGATGGAGAAAATGTCATTGAATTCAAGGAAAAGCTCTTTGGGTTTCAAGAATTTTTTAAAGACTAGCCAAATTGGAAAAAGGGATTGATAGATCATTTTTAGTGCGCTGGGAATTCTGAAAGTTAACATACATTTACGTACACAGAAGTCTTTACTCACAGAATTGAATCTTTACACAATCAAAGCTTGTGTTATAATATGAACTATCTTTTTTTCCAACCTAAGTCGCAAATATTGTTGCGACGCAAATATTGTTGCGTCAAAATGTGTTCATTTTGAAAGTGTTCATTTTGATCAATAACCAGCTATTAATTACAGCCAATGCTTAGGATATTAACACAGACTATTATATTACAAATAGCACTTTAGCTTCAAAATGTCTTGGATCTGTAGCGTAGAGGTAGGGAAGAAGACCAGCAACAGAATGAGAGGGTTCGAACCTGGGCAGGGTCGGATGTTTTTAATGAACTTTTTCGTATACAGGTTAAAATGCGTCCGCTCTATAAATTGAGGCATGTTAGCTGGTAAATTGCTTTTTTTTTTCAAATTGAGTGATACTGCTAATGCACCATAATTGGCTTGGCGTCACTTAGCAATTACGTAGACTCATAATTGGCGTGCGTCATTTAAGAAATTTTGTAGACTCAAAGTTAGTTTTACTCATTCAGTTTTTCCCAGTAGATTTATTGGTCATATTTTGGCTTGTGTATGCGAAGTGCAACTTTGCCTCTGTTTTATCTTTAAGTTGTATATTAAATGATTGACAGAAAAATTAATGCCATATTTCAGCTGCCATAAGGCGCAATGCTTAAGACCCTCCATCGAGCTGAGCTTGACAAGAATATTGTGAGAAGAATATTCTGAGTCTGGAATACTCTCAAAGTTTGTGTCAGAAGTGAACGCTTCAGATAAGATCAAATTAAAACCGTTACGAGGATAGGCAGTACATGCCAAGCTTTTATCTGATTTTTCTTCAACGTTTTTTATTAAAAAACAAGCTAAGCAAACCAAAAAAATTCTCCCTTTTCTCGTAAAATAATCCTAGCTTGAGAGCAGAGCATTTAGTAAAACAAGCTGTTTGAATGAGATTGCGATCTTTACGGCTCAATTTTTTTGACCTGATTTTTTTGCGAGCCGATTCACGCCAAATTAAAACAATTTGAAATTTGCTGGCTTGAAAAACTTTTAATTTATTGCAAATAGATTCAAGCTAGGGAAACAGTTTGAGATATTTCAAAAGTTTTGTTGCTCCTTATACTGCTTGAGAAAGGTATCTTTTTGCGATTCGTTTCAAGCTCTCAACAAACTCTTTTTCATCAACGTTTATTTATCATTCGACAAGCTTGCTTAAAAAGACTCTTTTTTTTGCGAACTGATTTAAGCTATGAAAACAAAATGGGATGCTTCAATTTTTTCTTAGCTTAATGAGCTCGAATAAATTTTTAATATTTTTATTCGAACCGATTCTCGCTATAAGCTAACCTGCAATATTTCAAAAATTATCGCATGATGTTACATGTGAACAAACGTCAAAATTCTGCGAACCGATTCAAGCTACGACAAGTTGAAATTTCACAAAGTTTTATCGCTTAATGCACATGTGAAAAATTTAAGTTGCATGAGCCTAATTTTATCTATTAAAACTGAAATGTTTTTTCTCTTGATGATCTTGGCAAGAAGACTTTCAACTTTTTGTGAACTCAATGTTTTTCAGCTTGATAAGCTAGCCGTAAACCTTTTTGGACTTTTTTCGAGCTAATCCCAGTTAGCTAAACAAACTAAAATGTTTCAAAAGTTGTGTTCCTCAAAACTTTTATCGCTTATTGATTTTGCAACATATATAGAATCTCATAATTATCTGAACATTGTTCATGTTCAAAAATGCTGTATCATTTCTTGGCGTGCTTATTTTGACTAAATTATTGAATTCAAAACCAAGGTAATTTATAAGTTGGTATTGTGTTATTAGCTTTTGCAAAGCGTTATACCTTTTTTGGTAGCTTTTGTATTTGAGTGGAAATCAGTTCATTTTAGGATTGAGGTTTTATAAATCTGCAATTAACCTTTGTAGATTCTAGTTTTCAAAATTCATGTAGGAACTGTGTTTTTATCAGGATTGGATCTAACCATCCTCAGACAAGAGTCGACGTTTAGGACAGTGGCTGTAAATTTCTTATCGCACTGTAAAAATCAGTTTCATTGCAGTTTCGTTGCTGTTTATGGTATGACTCACGTAAACGAGCAACTTTGTGAGTCTGCTCTCATAACCGAATATTTTCAACCAATTAGTGCCCTTCAAACTGAACCTTTAGTGCTTAAGCTATGAGAGATTACACCTAGATAACTGAAAATTAAGCATAACTGAAAATTCCTAGTGACTTTTTGAATGCGATGAACTGTTCTGACCTCGGAAGTATCCTTTGAAGTCGTTGGCCCGGTTTCCCCTCAAGTGATGACAACCGATGACGTCACTCAGTGGTATTTTCCTCCTCCACTCTCCCGGATTGTAGTGCAGGGCAGTTAGGGTCAAGTACACATACGTCTGTCTAGGGCAGAAAAGGATTATTAAATTTACTTTGTTTATAAAATGTTTCTGTTTTTTATTAGTTTTAAAATTTTTTAAATTTATTAAATTTTTTTACCCTTGCGATAAGCTTGGAAATGCAATCGAGTACTACACTTGGTATCCCATTAACAATTTTGTTCGCAGGACTCATCTGGACTCATGGTACTTTGGTTCATAATGAATTCAAATTTCTTAGTGTCTCCTGCAAACTTAGCTTGGAGGTAACGAATACGCCTGGGACGGCAAAGGTTCTTGGGGTCGAATCTGTTTAGGACCTGTTCTTTTTTTAAGCAGTAAATACTCCGGTTGAAAACATTTCCGCCTATTATTTGTCTGCATATGCTTTGTCGGCTTAGTTGCCACATCTAAGAATCATTTGTTTTTGCTTTAAACAATTTTTATTCTATTAAAGGTGTTTTAAAATTTTAAAAGTCCGGCTGAATCGAAATTTGTTTTTACCCTTGGTTGTGATTTTACCAACTCGATGTGTCAAAATTTTTTTGATTTTTGTCTTTTTAGCGGCTCAATAAGTTTCGGCTTAATTTAATTTATATTGACCTAGTGGACCCTTATTGGGTCGTTTGGGGATCGAAAAAAGTTTTTTTATGCGTGCGTGTGCTAAGAAGGGAAAGGGATGTGATTTTGTTTATTAGTTAAGAAACTTTAAGCCGGAATTTTTCAAAATTTGTCAAACTAAATTATCAAGAGAGCCAGAAAAACTGTGGAACTAGTTCTTAACTAGTATTTATAATTGGATATAAATATAATTCGCTATCTTTATTAAATATTACTTCTAACCAATCATATTCCATCTCTAACATTAACACTTTTTTTTAAGTGCTGAAACTACAAGTAGTTTCAGCAGCCTACAAACTTACTTATAAATATTCTCCTAGACCTAGTTTGAAGTATGTTTCCCGAAAACTCTGGAACCAGTTCTAGACTAGTATTTATAGACCAATTATGTTTATGATGGAATATCACTATAAAATATTTAAGCAATCATATTCCATCTCAGAATACAGTTGTTCTCCTTCTGGCAACTAACTCGCGTAAACCAGTATACACTAGATCTATCGAGACTAGGAGATATAAGAGTAAGATTAAGATTGGTAATAGACTTAGAAGTTGCACGAATCTATCCGCCCGTAAATAAGATAGCGTGACGAACAGACGGTGTACCTTATCTGAAATTACTCTATGAGTATAACCTAAAGGGTATAATAACTCTATGAGTATAATCAACTCAACTGTTTTAGAAGGGAAAATGAACTGACAGTGTTATTTTTTTTTCAGAAAGTCTGATTGCGTTTGATTTGGAAGTAGATTATCTCCGACTGATGCGAAGATGGCAGAACGAACAGATACTGACAAATTTGTGGATAAAGGGAAAAAGCTGTTCGAAAAATGCAGCAAAGGAAGGAGTCGACCTTTAATGTTTCCACCCGCACCTTCACAAATAAGAATCGATGTGTACAAAGGTTCTACTTAACAACTAGCATGCCCTTGATTATTAAGAGATAAAAAGTAAAACTTCGCGTAAGCTCAAAACTGGCTCACAAGAAATATTGGTCTGCATTTTTGCGTTTTTCAGACTAAGTGACTTGATTAGAGAGACGGAATTCTTAATTGAATAATTTTTATAAATACTTGTTGGAATAATGAATACTATAATTATTATTAATATTTAAGCCTTAACCCGTTTTTGCTGATATTGTACTAGGTTCAATAGCCCTTAAACGAAAACAAAACTGGAAATTCTGGAAAGAAAGCAGGAAATTACCATCAAATTATTTTTTTTTGCTTTCGAATTTTGAAAGTCTTCAGTCCTTGTTGTCTTGGCTTGAATCAGAAAGTGTTTAAGCATTGTTTTTATAGAGCGCATTTTTTCCGGTAGTATTAACTTCGATTGATATGGGTTAAATGCCCATGGCCACCCCTTTGGTCTTAAAGATCTCAGCTGATTGTTCATAGTCAGCTCTGATTGTTGGGGCATTGTTCGTGCCACGAACAGGCAAAGAACTTTTCGCCGAGTTTAATGAACCATTCTTATTCAAAAAAAAAATCGAAAGACTTCTTATCATTGTTGAAAAGAACCTAGTTTTGCTTATTTGGCTACTTTGGTGCCAAAAAAATCACTTTATATTGATTGGTTGCTAAACACTTTTTGAGAACACAGAAATTGATGGCAAATATATTATTTGATATATATTTCGGAAAATAAATATCAAATATATTTGATGTAAATTTCGGAAACTTGCCAGTATTTGAAAATCATCAATTCGATTAAATCTTTGCTCCATAACTTTTGTATTACACGGGATTGGAGTTCTGATACCAGTTTTGACCAGATAAAAAAAATTTGAATGATCGTTGGGGGGTTGTAAGTCAACTGGTAAGTGGGCTGTTAAGTAGAATCTCTCAAAGATTCTCGCGTTAATCCGACCGATACAAAAAAAGTTGAGGAAGACAAGAAGAGACAGGAAGACTACGAAGCCGAAGTAATTGTGTACAGAGCTCTCGAACAGTTAGACGAACCCATTGTCGTCTTACATGGGTTAGAATACACTCATAACCAGTGCATAATCTGGAATTCTAAGGCAAAATACTCAGCAGCAGGCCAGCACGATTTTGTGGTGATAGGTCCCGACTATATAGTTATTATTGAGGTGAAGAATCCTAAGATAACTCAGGCATCTTCCAGCGAATCTATGCCAGAAGATCCTCTTGCTAAATCTATCGAGATCGCAAAAATTCAACTCGAAAAAGTAGTCAAACTTATACGCGGCATAGGAGAAAAAACTCGGGGCCAGTGTAAAAGAACCGTCGATTTATTTCAAGTTGTAGCTTTTCCGAATGTCGACCACAGATTTGAAGATGCTGAGAAAAAATTTATCCTGATCAACAAGTCGGACTTAGAAAACTTTACAGAATTCTGGAATGACAAATTAAAAGCCCGAAGAACTTCCTTTCATGGTGACATCGGGAAAATTCAAAGTGTACTCATTCATTTGTTTGCCAACGCAAAGAACAACGAAATTGAAACAAAGAAAATAAGTCTTGCCGATTGCGTGGTCGACATTGACCTAAAACTGAGAGACGGACATATCACGTTTGAGAGTAAAAAGAGACCCCGGAACCCAGACGTGAAAAAAATCAGCGAATTACCTGCTGAATATATTGATGGAAAAAATATAAATAAATTTATATTCAAGGATTGCTTGGGACTTGACTTCATAACCAATGAACAATGGGAGGCATATCAGAAAAAAAGCGACTGCGTCATCATAACAGGGGGCCCCGGTTCTGGTAAAACGCTAGTTTTATTGGCTAGAATTATTTATCTCGCTTTGGTACATCCGGATTGGAAGATCAAGTTCAGGGTTGCAAACCACATTGACTTAGTCGAGTACACAGACGTAATCCAGAAGGCTGGCATCAACATCAAAGTAGTAGAATTAAATTTACCGGAGAATGGACAGATTTGTCGTGAATTATTCGAATACTTCCAAGTTGTAATTCTCCATCAATCTAACTCTGCTTTGAGCGATAAGTTTGATATTCAGTTCATATATGATTACCAAATCCAGTTTTACCAAAACCCAAATCATAAGCCAATTCAAGAACCCTTCGTTTTGACAGTAGACTTGAATCAAAAACCGGTGTGTACCAAAACTGCAGCAGTGGAAGGCAGCTCCCTACGTTTCAACTCAGTTCCAATAGTTCAATTGAGTGCCAGTTATCGAAGCACCCGAAATATTGTGTCTCAACTCATCACATTGAGCGAGCTCATTCGGAACCGCACCCAGCAAACAGAAAATCAAGCAGAAATAGAAAATCAAATCAGAGAACAAGAAAATCAAACCGCGCAAATGGGAAATCAAACCCTAGAAACAGAGAGTCCAACCGAACAAAATGAAAATCAAAGCATAGAAATAAAAAAATTATCACACACCCCCGTCTACGGACATTTCATATATGGACCCCAAATACTTGTTCAAGTTTACAGCCACGAATCGAACAAAACTTCTTGTTCGATTTTAATTAAAGCAATAATCGATTCGGTGAAAAAAGATTCAGAAATATGCGATCTAGAATGTGCGTTTTTTGTCTTTCCACGTTTTTTTCATCGCAAAGGCATACAGGATTACTGGATTGATACTTTTTATGATGAACTCTTTACAGCTGAGACTGCACGTGGCAAAGAATTCATCAGTTCTTCAGAGTTCACGCAATGTCACATTTTAATTCCCTTTAATCCCAATGACTATAAGCTAGCGTTACTTCAGTTTTTGTACAATGCGATAGCACGGACTCGAGTTTCATGCCATATCCATGTGTTGGTAGACAAAACATGTTGCAGAGAAGCAGTTCGCAAGGAATTGAGAGTTATTTTTCCAGAAGCAAGAATCATAGGAAAATAGAATCAAAAAGCAAGAATCAGAGGAATCAGAGGGACATCCTAAAGGAAATCTTTAATGAGGTACCAATAGATTCAAGATTGGACAAACTTGTTATGTTTTTAAATGATTATCGCTTGTAAAGTATACAATTATGAAATAGATAACATTTTAAACACCTGGAATAAATTTATTAACTATCAAATCGATTGTCATCGATTGCTTTATTGACTTGATAGCTACCAAAATCCATCTTTTGGTTTTTATTTTTACGCTAGCGAGCAGCTTGTGTTTTAGTATGAATATTTTTTTCTAACATAACTCGAAAATAGAAGTGTTCTTTAAAAGTGTTCACTTGTGTGCCTTTTTGCTATAATCACGATCTGTAGCATTGGAAATTTAATAGCATCTGTTCTCGTCTTTATTTGTGGCTGGTGTTTGTGATGTGATGGATGAAGAGTCAGTGGCTGAGTGGTTAGTGCGTGAGACTCATCATTTCTAGGTCGCTGGTTCAATTCCGAGATGTAGACGAATTTTTATAATTCGAGGCTTATTTTAACTTTTTCTTATTGTAATTTTTAGAACTCTAGAGCTGCTCTTTGTCGTGTTCTCGCTAGTGTTTGCGAAGCGCAGCTTCGCCTCTGTGTAATACATACAATCTCCATTTTATCGACAGATTATCTGCAAATTTTAACAGAATAAATATTGATTTTTCACATGGTATACACTAATTGTACACGGATTATATACAGATTATTACGGTCAGAAATCTGAAAAATGAAACTTTGTAAATATAAACAGCTTGCACATACTGCAAATGTTTTATATAGAGTAGCACATTTTAAATACTTTCATCGTCATCAGAAAGGTTTTGTTCTAGTTAGTCTATCCTTGTTATTACGCTTACGATTAGCAAGCATTATCAAACCGGAATATAGACTTTTTCGGGTTAACAACTTGTTTAACAGAATCACTTGAATCACCTGTTATATTGGTTCAGAATGAATTCAGTTTTCTAAGCGTCTCCGGCACACTTAGTCTGGAGGCCACCAATACGCCTGGACGGCTAAGGTGTAGGGTTCGAATCTGACCAGGACATGTTATTTTCAAACGGGAAATTCCGTTTCAAAAAAATTGTCCGCTTATCATTTCTCTGTATATGTTTTGTCGGCTTAGCTCCCACATCTTAGAAGTTTTTGCTGCATGCAATTTTCACTGTAGTTGCTTTTTATGTTTTCATTTACTCCTGCAATTTTTAATTCTTTTTAGCTTGACTTCGTATATTTTCCTTTTTTATTTCTGCTTCAAACGTTTTTCGGCCTAAATGATTTCGGCTTATATTTATTGCCTTACTCACCTGGTTTTGGTTCGATCAAAGCAACCATGATTTGTTTGCTTTCCTCCGGATTGCACAAAACGTTAAAAATCTCGGAATAGAATTCGTAGTTCAGCTTTTTTCATAACAACACTTTTCTTTTTGTTCGAAAATTGTTTTTGAATTTTCATTAAACGCCGTCGAATGTGTTTCTGGACGTGTTTTCAGCTAATAGAATTTCATTCAAAACAACATTTTTAAATTTTTTATTTGTGGTTTTTCCGAAAACGTTTCCGTTTTCTTTGCACATATTGGATCTTTTCCTTTCCTGTCTGCTAGCTTGCAATGCTTTTTTTGTGGTATCGCAAGTGATGCAAAGCTCCGCTTAGCCAGTGTAAATTTTTTTCATCCATTGAATTTATTTTTGTTTTTTAGATATATTTTTTATTTGTCTAATTGCACAAGCAGGGTTTAGTGTAGTACTACCAAGCAACTTTTTTTTCCAACCTAAGTTTATTGGCATTTTTTTTGTTTCCAAGCATTGGCAATTTAATAGCATCTTTAGCTGCTGTTCTGGTGGCTAGAGTTAGTTTATTTCCAAGCGACCGCAGGTAATTCCAGGACTTAGCAAAAAAAATTTTCAAGCTTATTTTTACCTATTCTTTCCGTATTGCTCTTTGTTTATAGCTTTTTAGACCTATTTCTAGCAGTTTTCTCGCTTTTGTCGGCAGCTTCGCCTCTAACTAATAAAATTTGTTTTTACAGGTTCATTTTTTTGGTTCAGCTGTTTTGTTCTCTGCAAAGGAATGCTTTTTTTGTATTACAAAGAAAAGACAGAAAGAATTTATTTTTCCGATAGGTAGATACATACATTCATCGACAGAATAAAAAATAATTTCAATAAAAAAGTACTCATCGGAAGGGACAACTAACGAGACCATGAGAGTCTACTAACAGCTGCCCTTGAATGTTAAATTCACGGTAGATAGCATCATGAAACAAAGGAAAAAGAAGTTTAAAAAAGTATATAAATTATATTTGAATTTCACAAGTAAATGAATATTTTTAAAAAATGTATAATTCTTAACAAACAGCGCTGAACTTAGCAGTACAACCAATGTTTTGACGCCAGATCTCACTGGCTGTACACTGACATCAACACTAAGAGACTCTGGGCCGTCATATTTTTCCACATAGTTCGCAAGCCACAGATATAAACCCGGTAGTGTTTACCCAAGTCAGTGAAATTCTTTGTATTTAAAAATTAAAAGTTAGAGTTGCCAGCTCGTTGTTACTTAACAGGTATCCCATTTTTGAATTCATGGTAGAAACTTTTAATTTTTGTTGTTTGTATTTTCTAATCATTTTTTCGAGTAAGTCTCTTGTCTAAAGCAGATTGAAAAGTCTAGATACCCGTTAGATTACTGACTGCTTTTCAAAACGTTTTTTTCCACATGTTTCTTTCAGCAGGCCTAATTTACCACTACGAGTTTCGCGTAGAGGATTTTTAAAACTGAATGTTTCTTGAAGCTCATTAGACTTGAAGCTCATGCACTGTTAGCAGTTGATTTTTCACGAAAATGTTTTCTGAGTGGTCACCACGTTTTCTAAAATGTATCAATTTCAATATCTTTTTCTGAAGCATAAAATTGGCAGCAAGAAGGAAAACCTACAACAACCGTATACAAGAATGCCATACTGTATAGTGGTTTTGAGGTTAAAACCATAATAAGCTGAAAGCTGATGTCGAGGTGTATAAAATCTTAGCTTTGAAATAATGCCTGATTGTTTTGCTAATCGCATTTTTACATGGTCTTTGTTGGATACTAAAGATAATTTTGAAACCACGTAAATCCTCAATTACTGAACTGGCGGAGTTTACATTCATTTGTACTGTTTTATTCGTGTTTTTAACCAGTTTATTGGCATTAAGCCAATATTCAGTTTACGGATGTCCTCAGTAATCAAAAAATCAGCTTGTCCAAATGCAGTTACATTGTTGTCATTCGCCAAAATGAGTAATTTCAGATAGCTTACAGACATAAGAGGTCATTTACGTAAATAAGAAACAGTCAAGGACCTAAAATAGATCCTTGAGGAACACCACATGATATTTTGGACCAGTTAGAAGATGTTCTATTTATTTGCACGATTTGCATTCTTTCCCTTAAGTACGAACTAAACCAATAGGTTTTTCCTCTAATGCCGCATGATTGCAAATTCTGTTATAAAAGGGGATGTTCTTTTGTATCAATTGCTTTTTCAAATCAATTAATTGTGTTTTGCTTGCCACTTGACCGCATTTTTCAGTAAAATCAATAAATGCGTCTATCGTACTATGCTTCGATCGAAAACCAAATTGTCGGCAAAAAGTCAGAGAAAACTTTTCAAGATGATTGTATATTCCAGTGAACATAGTTCGTTCAAAGGTTTCACTCCAGACGATTAAGAGCGATATTGGTCGGTAATTGTTTTCATCAACCCTAGATCCATTATTATGCTTTGGGATAGCTTTTGCTCTTTTTCTTCTATCGGGGAAAGCGCCTTGCAGGATGAATTTGGAGAATGAGCAAAGTTAAAATGAACGGTAGCAGGTGCCTATAATTTAACCAATCTGTTGATATTAGCATCTCTCGATGATGATTTATTGTCGAGATTATGGATTATTGCCAGAACTTTGAGTTCTGCTAATTGATACAAAAACACAGATTGCTCAGCTTGGGTAACAGGTGTTGATGGTGGACAATTCATGTTTTTCTTAAGATCGGTGCCAATTGCTGAGAAAAAAAATTTGGAATTTTTCAGCAGCATCAAATTTTTCAGCTGCAGACATGATACCAGTATTGGCGCATCGCTATCCTGTGTTTTTTCCCGCTGATTTCGTTTAGTAGTTTAAAAGTTTGTCTTGAGTCTCCTATACAAGCTGAAAATTTTGTATGATTTTTTTTGCCCACTTCACTTCTTTCTTTTTTCAGCTTCACTTTTTTACTTTTTCCAGCTTCACTTGCAATTGTTTGAAATTTTTTACTAAAATAGGGTTAATCAGTTGATTTCTCCATAAGCGATGAGCTTAGTTTGTTTTGGTTTTTAAGTTTTTCAAAGTGTTTATTCGCATGTTGCATAATATGCAGTAATTTTAATAAAAACTGCGGCAAAGTTGTTAAATGAAGGAGAAGGGTCAGAATTATAGCAAATTGGGACTTCATTTTCTTTTAATTGTGATTGAAAATCGCTAATATACATAGCAGATGATTGTTTATTTTTTAGCAAATTGTAGGTCACGAAAGATTGATTTCTTACGTTTTTGTGTAAACTAGATCGATTCCATTGTAATAGGATTGGATAATGATTGGTAAAACTTTTGTACTCTAAAACTTGGTGATCCGTTTGAGTTAAATTTGTATTTATGAAATGATCCAGACAGTTATTTGTTGTTTCAGTTACTCTTGTTGCTTTTGTATCACCTTTTTCATAGCCATTTGAGAAAGTACGTCTCAGGTATTTTTCGGATAGCTGATTAATCTTAGAAATATCGATTTTAAAATCACCACAGAGTATAACTGGTAACGATGGCGAGTAGTTATCTTCCAGAAAAATATGTAGTTGATCGATAAAACCGAGTTTGTTTATTCTAGAAGGGTTGTACATCACGGCATTTTTAAACTGATAGTTCTTTTTCAATTGTCCCTACAACGCAGGGCGTATTTGTATCATTATTCCACCTCCACATGTTTTCCGGTGATATGTTACGTACTTATTATATCCGTCAATAAGACAGCGTTTACACTCATCATTTTCTCTTAACCAATTTTCCGATAAGCATAAAAAGAAAAGCGGAGACTCTAGACTGTATACTAATGCTTCCAGTTCATTAAGCTGGCCTTTCAGAGAGCGAACGTTTTTATGTGGCACAGAAATTTCATGTTCCGGAGGGGCTTCCCGTTGGTAGAAAATACAGTAAAGCAACTCATATCATCATCAAAACTATAATCAAGTAGATGACCGCCTTCGTAGAGCCCAGTTATTTTATAGGTATAATTATCATTTCTGTTCTGGAAGAAGATATTGCCTCTCTGGACAAAGCCGCTGCAACTTGCTCGTCGATTTTCATCAGTTCCAGGAAATTGAGTCCAGCCGTTGTTAAATCTTCGAGTATTGTAACACTTTTTGTGCTCTTTTTCTCGTTCAGTTGGCGCTTCTTTTTCGAGAGATCCAGTTTTGAAACTCGTCGACAAAAACGAACACTGCTGCGTTTTGTTCTTCCTCGACTCGGTATTCGATGGGCAATTGATATATCCTGCTCGGTGATGTTTGCTATAATCTGATTTGCAATGTTCAGTACTTTGTCGTCTCTTCCACTGATTCATGGCTCCCAATTTCCGCGTTGCTGGCTATTTGGATAATGCGAATATTTTCCCGTCTGTTGTAGCTTTCTAGCAACTCAGCTTCAGATAGGCTCTTGAGGCTGCAGCGACTTTCTTGGGAGCATAGCTGTTTCTTTTTTTACTTAAGAGAGAACTTGTTGCTTCATGTCTTCTGTAGCAACATTGATCATATTCGCCTTCAACTCTTCCATCTCATGTTTCAGATTTACAAACGTAGTTGGAATGATATCTTTGATCGATGCTTTGATGGTTGTCTGGGTCAGCTGCAGTAGGTTGTTATCCTCTGAAGTTTTCTGTTCGATGGGACTCAGAATTTTACATACTCGTTTGTGGCTCGACTTCGGGATGGATATCTGGTCTTGGTATTTAAACGTGGGAATTTTGTCTCGGGCTTCGAAATAGGTTTCTGATAGGGTGATAAAATGGGTGTCAGGATTTGAGACATTGTTGGATTGAATATCAGTCATGATCACTGACAGCTTCTGAAACTATTTAATAAGTTTATCATAACAATTAGGCTGTTCGATTTTTATCTGTAAAAATTGTGAAAAATTTAATTTAATTGTGATTTGAGCTTTTATTCTAGAACAATTTTTACGTCTCGAAATATTTTAACTTGCGATAGCAGTTGTCTGTTCTTATATCAGGTTTATATCAGTTTTTTAAACAATTTTAATACCCGAGAATTGATGCTGCTGCTTGGTGTTAGACCGATATCACCGTTGTTGTGCAATTATTATGTAACTCTGATATAATTTCGACTTCAAGATATGGCGGTTTCTTGAAAATACGACTGCTGCTTTTTGCGTGTCTTACTGTTTAATTTTTTGAACAATTAATTTCCAACTATTCGTTAGCTGATAGTGTTAAAATAGATATGACGTGTTTTCCATTCTTTTTTTTACGAGTTAAATCAATTTCTGGGTTTTCAGAAAGTGATTTTGACGAATTCTTGGTTTTTTAGACTTAAATTACGTAACAATAGTTTGTCAAATTTTATCATTTTTGGCATGTACCCTTGCACTAAGAAAAGGTTTTGTAGTCTGGTGCTAGGCATTCACAGCTAAAAAATTTGTTCGAAAGATGACTGAAATTGGTCTTCTCCATTTTTAGTAATGGAAGTTTTTAAACATTGAAGTTTTTCTCCTGATGAATCCAAAGCTATGATTGCAAAAATAGCTCAAGAAGTAAAATAATTGTTTTTCGATCTGATAAACTTCGTTTCCATTGTTGTTTACTTAATTGCCGCGCTTTTTTCAAATTAATTTTTTCCAATTTTTCTAAAGACAAGCTACATAGTCTCGAGCAGTGTAATTGCTTTCATTTGTTTATGTCACTGTTTCGGCTGCACGGCTCACGAACTATTTTGTCAATAATAAAATCTTCAGATAGCACAAGAGAGACCTTGTCCGAGAGGTGTTGCGATCTTTTGACGTGAAACATTTCTACAAGCAGCCTGAAAATATATATATATATATTTTATTTTTATGGCTTTTCACTAAATTTTCAACTAGTTAGCGTCCAAGTCATCGTTAGGTTTGAGCATTTTCACTTGAAATCAATTCTAGATGGTGGCAAAAGGAGGTTTTATATATAGCTAAGTTTTTTCAGGAAAAAAGTCCAAAGGTTTTTGGAAATGTTAATATTTTAATATTATTCGTTACCCTTGCGATAAGCCTGGGTGTTGCAACCAGTCATAGACTTTCCCTAAACACGTTTTTTCACAGGATGAATAAAGTCATCTCCAAAGTCATGTCCGCATTTTAAATGTCCGTTCTTGTCGACTTTTTCTTTTGTGTATTACTTGTACATTTACCAACTCCGATTTCAGTAATTCGTTTTTTTTTTCAAATTGGGTTCAAAGGGATCGGCTGATACTATATAGCTTTCCTGCCCTCATAGTGCGTCGTTTGAGTTTATATTTTGAACTGCGTATGTGTGTTTTTAGGGTGGGGACCTTAGTTTTTTTTCGAGTTTCAGCTTTTGATGAAAATATATTTTTTTGGCTCAATGGGTGTATGCTCAAAAATTATCAGCCTTATTACCGCTTTTGTAAATCTTTGTTTCGATGCTAATTTAACATTCCAACGTCCTTGTTGACGTTTTTTTTTTCAAAGGGAATTTTATTCATCAGACATTGCGGCAAATATGAGAAATATGGTAGATCTCGTTTTTTTTTCGGCATTTTTTAAAGAAGCAGTTTCTCTTCTTTTTATGCCCACTCATTGCTCCTTTTATATTTGTATTATATTGTAAGTGGTTCGAAGCTCTGCTTCGCCTCTGTTTTTCAATTTCACTTTTCAGTAGTTAGTGCCTCCAACGGTATTTTGCAAGTTTCACATGAGATTAAAGAGTGAGTGTCTTTCAGTTACTGAACTTCTTTTCCGTTGTTCAAAATTTCTAAATGCGAGAAAAATTTAAGAACCTTAACAATTTTCTATTTGAAGGAAACAATTTTGATAGGTAAAAGACAATTTGGTGCTTGTATTAGAGATTTCGAGTGTTTTAGTAGTAACACAGCCGAAAAAGTAAAACCGAGTTGTTTGTACGAGTTTTTGATAACAATGGTTTTTATCTCTAAGTTTTTAAATGAGTTCAATAATTTTTGCAACGTTGAACGCGGATCTACAAATTGGCAGTTAATGAAGAACATGTATTACTGCTTTAGCTGGCAATAAAAGAGATCTGGTTTTTCATTCAAGCCTTTTTGCGGTAAGGCATTTAGTAGTGAAGCATGTGGACAGTCTTCGAGAGGTTGCGGGCTCCAATCGCGTTCATTGGTCTTGCTTTTAAAATTCTCAGCTCAAATTTTGTTCTTGGCTTGTTTATGCAAATAAACTTTGCTGCTGCGTTAGCTCATTTGTGGTATAACAATATATCCGTATTTGTCTATATTTGGAATCCAAAAATTTTTTGAAAATATGTGACAGAGTTGTTGTCAGTTGCGAGTAATTTTTTAAGAGAAGTCGAAAAATGAATTTTATTATATATGTTTTCAGTTTATAAGTACCCGTTCTGTTCGAAATACTTTTTTTATGTTGGTTGTAAAGTTATCAATTCCGATATTAGTCTAATTTCAGTTTTTTCTTTTGTTTTTCATTTTTTGTATTTAAACGAAAGATTTGTCTACTATTATTTCGGCTTATTAGCCGCATATTGCGTCGTTTGATATGCAAAAAAGGTGTAATCTATGTATTTTTCTTGGGATTGGGGGCTACAAACTTTTTTTGAGATTTTGTTTTTGTTAATGCAAAACGTTTTTTAGCTCAACCGCTTCTAGTTTTCAGCCGATAAAATGAACAAACATTTACTCAATATTTTAAAATCTTTCTGTGCAACTACTTAAAATTCATGGCTAAAATTTTGTTTTAAGAAAATTTTTAAAGGTTCTAGTCGAATGAAAGCTAAGAGATGCTCGGCAGAGAGAGAAAGAAGTGTTCTAGTTGCCGTAAATCCTCGTAAAACGCATATGTAGTCTGAATTTTTGAACTCATAACTATTCATTGGAAATTCAAGGATCTGAGTTTGGCCATTTCAAAAGTTTCCCCCAATTAAAAAGATCTCGAAATTGTATAAAACTTTTCTAACAAGTTTGCCTGATTGTTCATTAATGTTTTTTATCAAATACTTTATTTGTAACTGATCAGTTTTTTCTCGTGATTATCGTGGGAACGTTATATGAGGTCATTTGTTGTAAAATCAAAAATTCAAACTCCATGGGATTTTGACTTGGAATCCTGAAAACCTATCTGCTGAGTTTCGAGTGCATGAAACAACTTGCCTTGAGATGTCAACGTTTCAGCCATGAATCTCAAATAGCTACAGAAAAAAAGACAAAAACCAAATTTTTTCTGTTTAGGCATTTCCTTCAGTATTCAGCAAGTGATTCATATTTTTTAGTCAAGCAGCCAGTGGCCTATACTTAAGTTGTTTAAGATTGACCTAGAACTCAATTATTTATGACGCCATTAAGCTATGGCTATCTTGAAAGTGCTAGCCTTGCAAATTGCAATGCACATGCGATTTGAAACCGCAATCATTGAATTGCTGGTTACCATCACTACCGGATTCGCCATAACGGCACATAATTAAGATGTCAGTGGTTTGTCAATGGAGTCTGTGTCAGCGTTTTTTTTGAAGGTTTAAATTCACATTTAGTTTTAAGAGCTTTTTGTGCCCCGTTTTTTTGAACTCTGTTTGTGAAGTGTAGTTTCACATCAGTGTCCTTATGTTCATTGTTTTCTACACTTCGTTGCTCTTCGCTTATTAAAGTACCAGATAATGATTTTGAACTTTTTTGGACTTGGTGTATAATGATAGCAGATAATGATGTCACACTTCTCCGGACTTACATTAGTTTTTTTCTCATCTGGAATTACTTTGACTTAAAGCTCCTACCTGTTTCCCTTATTGTACTCCTCATCTGGTAGAACTGCAATAGACTGTGTCCTCAAGATTTCCCTCTCACTCCTGCTCTGGTTCACAGAGCGGCGACCTTGAAAATTATTTATCATATGTTCAAAGATGTATAAATTTAAAAACAATCTTAAGCATTAAAGAAAATTTGAAGTAAAATTATTAGATGTTGGGTTTGCTTATGGCAGTATGGCCGAATAATGGAAAACAAATATTTGCCGATCAAATTTCAATTTTTAACAAGGATAGCCGGTTTTTGTGCATATAGCACAGAATGTTCCGACCAGTCTTAAAAAATACATTTTTTTTTTCAAATTAGTGTCGTTTTTTTTATGCGGTGTGATAACAAGATCTGAACGAAAAAAATAGAATCTAGGCATATTCGACAGTCACAGTCAAATAGGCCAATTAGACAAAGTTTTTCTAGAAAAATGACTAGAAAAACGAAAAAAATATCCTTAAAAAATATAAACATTTTTTTTAAAGTGTTTTCTATTTTTTTTTCTGTATCCCAAAATCTCGCCAAAAAACTCCAAAAGCTAACTTTACTCGGGGACCTAATTTAAACTTAAGTAAGCTATTGTAAGCCTGCCCGCTCACCTTATCAGCTCAAAATTAGACCAATAATTTCAAATTGTTTTTCCTCGACACAGAAATTTTCTATGTCGATCAAATCACGACTGAAAGGCCCTAATATCATATAAACCTCGACCCATTTCGTTGATTATTTGCTGTACCTGATTTTGCGTGTATTTTTTAAAGAAAAAAAACATATGAATACAAAGTTCCTCCACATTTTTTAAATGGATCAAAAATGTGAAAGAAATTATTATAATGTAGTCACTTAAAAGATTTTCGATTGGTTGGAAATGTTTTGCTATTCGAGCCTTCTGCATTGAGATTTCTGTTGGTTCAGGTAATGTACATGATGCAATGAAAAATTCACTGGGCCAACTTTGCATCCACCCTTGAGTTACCACTGTCCACGAAAAAATTTGGTCAACTGGTTGAAGCATGTCTTGAAAATTTTTTGAATAAGTTGGAACAATTTGACCTTGAAAATGATGAGAGGAGGAGACTCCAATTCCACGACCACTGACAGCAGTAAAACGTGTTTCCATATGGCGAAGATGAGTTAAATAGTAAATGTGTTAAATAAATATAAAATATTATTTTTTTTGAATTGAGTTTTTGTTTCTGTTGTTGCTGTTATTTTACATTTAATATTATAAATTGACGATTTTTTTTCTTGCTCGTAATGTATAAATAAAGCTATTATTTGGCAAATGAGTAATTGAAAATAAAATCTGTTTTCCAAATGGCGAATTAATTTGAATTTAACCAGAAATTAACCGAGAAGTATTTTCGAATTTTTTCGGCCATAATTGGCATAAAAAGTGTGAATAAGTTGGCAAATCAATGAGGTAGTCAAATTTAAGGCTATTTATTAGTAGCGGCGAACGAAGGAAAGCTTTCTAGCTTAATATTTTTGAACGCAGAGGTTTTTTTAACAGGAAGCAAAAAAACGTCTCTCTCTTTCTCTGCGTGTGTTGAAATAAGTATCTAGTGTAGAAGATTTGTCTTTTTTTGGCGGTGCGATGGTTATCAGAAAAAAAAATTGCTTCATAACTAATTATAGGCAAAACAAATTCTTCATTCTATCGGTTTGTTTATGGCGTTTTATTTGCTTTGGTTGATTGCTTTTCATCTTCATTCTGGAATTTAGCGTTTGTTTGGAATATTTGTCTTATTAATAACCAGTAAGACCATTCGGTTAGTTGACTTAATTTGAAATTAAAGGTGTCAAGACGGTCAAATTTGGAAGTTGTTTTTATCAATACGGCAATGGGTCAAATTTGAATTTGGGCGACTAACAGCTACAATTTTTACGAGAAACAATTGATAGGTAGAATTTACTGGATTTAATCCATTCAGTAAAGAATCTAGAACATACAGGAACGCTTTTCTTTGAGAGGAAATAATCAAAGTCATCAAATCAATTGTTTGGCCATTGTCTAATCAGTTAACGATGTTTGAGATTTTTCCTTTTCTCGAAATTTTTGAGATACACGAAGGGTTTTTGAATTAAAGAAAAACCAACCGCTTGATCTAATATTAGCTCAGTTGATTGTGTGCAATAAGCAATACAAATTGGCTATTGCAAAAGGACCAACATTCATTGATAATATTTCGCCATCGATCAAACGAAATTCGACACTGAACTGCTACATTCAAAGGCTGTCATCATCATTTTGGCATCCTTAATGCTTCAGTTTCTTGAAGCTTGAGACTACTTCCTAAATACGAAAGCACCTCACAGTTCGTATTTTTGATCAATCAAGCTATGCAGTTTTAGCAAAGTTTTTGATGGCAATGTTAAATTCTCGAGGAAGGAGAAAGAAAAATCCCCCCCCCCCATAAAGCCCCCCCCCCCTGGATATATCCCAGTGCTAGGCAGTGGGGATGTATTTTGTGTTGACTGTTTTCAATCCGGTGCTCAGCTTTTTAAAAATGAAAGTCGTACTTTGTTAAGAAGGTGTTATATAATTTTTATGGCTATATTCGGAAGCTCGTTTTTTGTTATTTTTTCTGCTAAATGATCGTGTTATTGATCAAAATGATGAAATTGTTTTCCATGGTCGCAAAATTTCTGATTTTGCGATGCTGATCTGTGTTATTTATTTAAGTCATTTAAAAGTTTGTTTTTATTTATTTAGATTCTGTAAAATGTCTGTTTTTTATTTGTTTCATTTAACAAAAATGAAATAAAAAACTTGCAAAAACACTGAAATTCATCTTTTCCAGATGTTCCAACGGTCAATTCAAGATTTAAAAAAAACATATATTTCGTTTTAAACAAACATTTTTCAGAGATGTTATTATTTTTAATGGTTTTGAGTTTTTAGATGATTTTAGCGATATAACTAACTTGTTTTTAGTGAGCCATTTGCGAATCCGCTGGTAGAACTGAAGTAACCAGATCGGATTTGTTGCCAAAGAAACAAATTCAAATTCCGTCTGAGACTTGAATAAAATATATCTTATAACTAAATTTTCACATTTAAGATTAAGTGATATTATTAACTCTGCTCTTAAATTGTTGGTGATAATTCAGCTTATTGGTATAATTCGGTTTCAGTGATCAAAGTAATGAAACCAGTTTAATGTATGTAAGATCTTGAAGATAAAAGACCATCTTTTTTTCTGATTTGATATACGAATTATGCATACAGCAGTTCTTTCAACCAACACACGCACGAGCACGTTTTCATTTAGTTTTTTTCACATATAATTTGAACATTGGTTTGTGTAAGTTATGCAACGTTGAAATTTCGTTACACGTCGCTGATTTAATGTGCAGAGTCATTCATTACTATTTTATATTTCAGCCTTGATATATTGTGTTATTGATTTATTGCTCCATAGTTTTCTGATCTTACAACCGTAGGTTATTTGAACCGTATTTTTTCAGCAATCAGAAGAAGTGATTCTGCTGTTAGATTTTTGGTTTCATCATGAAATCTCTAGTCTCGAAAGAGAATCCAGTCAATAAAAAAAATTGCAATATGATCGTATTTAGAACGACAGTTGCGAACTGAAAAAATCAATTAGTTGACATCATTTAGAATCTTCTTTATTCTATCGTTTTACTTTTGTTCGAGGCTTATATAATTGTTTCCAAGTGAGTTCATTACGAAAACAGAATTACAAATGAATAACTCGTTTACAAAAATGTTACTTGTGAGAGCACCATAAAACTAATATATATGAGCATCAGATTTGTCATTACCCTTGCCATTAGCAACGGCATTACAACCGGTTACTTGGTTTTTTATCCCGCTTAAAACGTTGATCACAGTATTCTTCTGCTGGACTCCTCGGCTTATTCATTAGTATATCAAGTTACAGCTTATATTCTGCCGGTTTAGTGTGAAGGTTGCTTGCATGCTTTGGATGACACATGGTTCGGTTCCGGTTAGGCTCGCACCAATTTTGATTTTTTTTTTGCGGTTTGATTTCTAATTTTTTTTCAAGTTCAATTTGTAAAGTTGACGGTTTCACTTCATTACTTGCTATAGTAACCTGTGCGTAGGATTGATTCGTCATTAACTTAAGTAGTACAACAAACAGAAGGGTCGAGTTCAAAATAATTCATTCTTCGAAGATATCGTCCCTCCTTCGCCAGAAAATAAAATTTTACAAAATCGGCGAATCCACCCCCCCTAAAAAAATCGGAACTAAGTAAATAAAAGTATGCCCTAAGTAAACAAACCCACCTCTAATTTCCGGAAATTGTGGACGTTGGCATAATGATTTCATTGCGCAATTGACATAAGATACGAACCCCGAAAAAGACCCCTCCGGCGACTCCTTCTGGTGTTAATAGCCGCTTTCCGGATGGGTGCTTGGCCCCGGGTGACCTTAAGTTGACCTTTGGGCGTTTGAACCCGAAAATTGCCAAGAAAACCCCGAGATTAACACCGGAAAGTGGCGTATTCCCCAGCCCAAGCCCTCTGGAAAATGAGAATCGGTCACCTTACTAATAACTGAGATGTAACTTGTATATTAGGAACTAGAGCAGAAGATGATAGCGATATAGCTTTTACATTGCAACCTTGGAGTAGTAGACTTAATTCAAAATGGACTTGTTAAACATCGGAAATCAGTTTAGCGTGGCGAATGATCTATTAATAGCAATTCTTCTAGATCAAAGAAAAGTAGTCCCAGTTTAAATTGATAGTAACAGGGTTGCATCATAAGAATTAACTCTCCTAATTAATATGAAGGGGCGAGAAATTTACTTGGTTCCCCAGAGGTGACTTTTTAGTCAAATTTGACCCATAATAGACGAACTACGTTCCCCTGATAACTAGAGGATCGGAATTGGAATAGAATACAATTAGAAAATTAAGATGCTTGGAATGAATCAACTACCATTGAAAAGCTCCCCTCCTTTTCTTTAGAGTTCGGAACGTTAGCGGGATATTTGAAAATAAGACTTTGGGAAGAGAACTGAGTAAACATAGCAAGGTTTGGAGGTTGAGTTGAACTCGAGAGCTGGAGTCACTGAGATCAGGAATTTAATGATTAGAATCATATGACCTTTATTGCTTGATCAAATTGTGACACCTACTGAATACTGGTTATCTAATAAGCGTGAAAAGATTGATAAAAGAAGGCGAACGTTACAAGTGGCGCTCTTGACAGGGGAGGGATTTAGTCTTAAAACATGTGCGGTCGGGTGATTTAAGCGGATGTCAAGACTGATAGGGAAAGGCGTGACTTAACTAAAACTAAGTGTAAAGGAAGATAAGGAATTGGAGGGTACTCGAGAGCCTTAAAGAGTTAGAACAATTTTTGCTAGTGAGCCGAATAGTTGGTTCTCAGTTAAAGAGAGAAGAATAGTTGGTGCGCGGAGGATGCTATTGCTTGAAGCGAGGCCAGTTGTGTCTCACAGTTGTTAGAACTTAATCTAGCTAATTTGAACCCGAGTTAAAGCCCGGGTTGAATTATTTTGTGATCGAGTTGCGCTGGAACCCGAGTTGAGTACCGAGTTAAATTTGTGAATGTGTTGAATGTGTGAGCGAGTTGCGCTGCTGGAGTAGGCGTGATTGGAATCGGGTCAACCGAAAATTGACGAACGAGTTAACGATGCGATTGAACGGAACGAAATGCGGTCTTCGTTATAGAAGTTCTTAAATAGTAGTTAGCTCACCAAGGGCATTGTAAATTACTTTTGTTTCCTTTGCGATTGAGAATTAACTTTTTGTGCCCACGATTTGCTGAACTAGCTAGAAACGCAAGAGAGCCAAAAAGAGAAAAAATCAAATGGGGAAGTTGCGTAATATTTTGATCGGCCGATTTAGTCTGACCACCAACATAACCCTTTCGGGCTTGTGGAAAATATCTACACAATTCAATTTCAATCGCTAAAGGGTTAAAAACTTAGGCTCTCCCATTATGAAAGTTCAAATATCACAAAAAACATGATCGGCATCAGTTCCGAAATTGGTTATAGATTTTTAGATTTTCCAGCAGAATGAAAAAAAATCAACTGTTGATCTAGTTTCATCTAGTTGGTTTAGTTTTATTAAAAAAATAACAATCGCAAAAGATTTTTGAATATGTAAGCGCTGTAACATTAACTTTTTTTCATCGAAAGTTGGAAAAAGCTCAAAAAAAATTGTTTCATTTTTTTAAGTTTTATACTGTGTATTGGCGTATAACGAAAAAATCTTTTAACTTATAATCGTATATTTTGGCTTTCGTATAAAAAACGTATAATCGTATAACTTGACATCAAAATCCTAACTCAATTACAGCAATTGATCAAGGTTTTTTAGATTGTTTTTGTAATTCGATAGCATTTTTTGCCAAAAAATCTCTGATTGCTCATATAAATAGTTTTTTATGTTGGACTTAAATGAAAAACAGAATTCAAAGAAAAAACCCTTGTCTTAAAAGTGTTGTCAATTATAATGGTATAATTTATCGTATAAATCTTATTTCTCGTATAATCTTGTATCTTTTCTTTCGTATAATTTGCCGTATATCGTATAACGAGTACAAAACACTATTTTCCTGGAGTTCATTGACGCTTTGAGTTTTTGAAAAGAATATCGGTAGTGTTTTCCAAATTAAAATAAAGCTATTTTATTTTTTTAAAGTGTTTTTTTTATATATTAATTGATTTTTTCGTAATTTTTAGGAATTAGCGTTAGTCTTTGCTGTTGTTATTTCTGTGTATGAGCTTTTTTTAAACGTAATTGTGTTAAGAATTGGTCATTGGCTGCTTCTACAACTTCCTAGAAACTTGGAAAAATCTTAATTTTTTGTTCTTGAAATTGTGATTACTTGTCATAGACTGGCAGTTTATGATCTTATAGTTTCGCAATAGATGCGAAGCGCAGCACTGCCTCTGTGCTGAAACGTTTGTTGCAAAGAGATTTTCTCCAAGCAACCATTCAGCCAGAAGTGGATGTCCTGAAATAGTAGCAGTTTCCCTGCTCGACAGATTCAAAGCATGTCACCACTTCAGCATGGTAACATTCTGTCGTTGGATCTGAATTCTCTCTACGCTCAATCATATTCAAGGCGCTAGCTAATATCTGCTAGCGACATTTTTTTCATGGACTCATATCTAAGACATTATCAGCATATATCTGGCTGTCATACGAATATTGTTCTATGTTGCAGTGTTTGTTCTATGTTTTGTAAAACTATTAAACTCCGCATTATTGTATAACTTCATTCTCTTCATCTTTCTCGTCGTCAGTAATTGAGAGGTTTTACTGCTTTTCAGACCTTAGAATGAGTTCGTCGTCTTCTTCTGCTGCTGCTGTTTCTGCTGTCAATGGAGGTGGGGAGGGTGACTCAGTCCTAAATAGCACCCCCAAGTACAAACTGTGTTGCATAGGGGCTGGGTATGTGGGGGGACCCACTTGCAGTGTAAGTCACTTTGCACTTATCACCAAGATTGAGAAAATATGTATATATTGTGCACACAAGATTATGAAACTTAGCATGATGAGCAGCGAATAAATAATTCTTTACACGCTTGTTTTTTGCTCATACATTGTAATATTACGGAATAAGTCATGTTATCATGCAAAACGTCTATGAAAATAAGAATTTCCAATGGAACGTTGAAAAAAAGTCTTCAGTAAGTTCACTTGCAATTATCATCAGTTATTCACCTTTGATAGTTGTCTCTATTTTTTTTATCTCGAGCTGAATTCAGTTTTTAGATAAAGAAATTAATTAAGGAAAAGTTTTTTAATCTTCAAAAAAATCTGAAGAGTGCTTGATAATATCCTACTTAATCAACAAGTGACAAAGATTACCGTGTAAACCACATCCGATATGTCAAACATCAGAAAAACCAAAGTGTTGCAAACATCCGAAAAACAGCTTTACTAGGGCAAGCATCCGACATTTCTGAAAAATTAAGTATTTCTGCCTCGTTTCGGTTCTGAGGTAGATCGGTTTCGGGTAGCTGGCTGATTGACAACATTTCTTTTCATACGTAAATTAACCCTTATTATCAGAAATTACAATTCAACAAAGAATAACGAGCTGCCATAAATTTCGGTATTTAAAAGCAGAATTCAATACCATAAAATATGCAAAATGAAAACATTGATAAATCAATTTTAAAACAGCGCCTGAACAATTTGTGAACTTTTCGACTTTTCTCACACACTGTTCTTTGTTCACCACAAAATTCATTAGTTACGACTTTGGTTCTTCTCGCTATGAATTCTAGCGAGAACATCAGGGCTGAAATCCAATTTCTACCGTTCGCTGAAATGATGCCATAGTGGTCAAATAAATGTGGATCGCCGCGGTCGCACCAACGTGTTGAGCTTGCCAACAGAGAATAGGATTCTATACGAAATTATAAGAACCGGTTATCGCCCCGAAGCACCGTTGAATTGAGAATTGGCGAAATTGGAATCCGAGAATTGAGTTGTCTCAATTTTGAAAATCTTACGTCATATTATTACATAATTATTATATAAGTTTGGATGTTTGACATAGTGGATGCTGGACACATCGGATGTTTGGCCTAGACCCGAAGACAAAATGAGCTCAGTTGAACAATTGTTTGATTGATGTTCATGGCGGATAATTTTTCTAACTTCTCGAACATTTCAATCTTAATATTTTAAGCTTTACAATTGAAGACTAACTATGATTTCCGGTAAAACTTTATTTTACAGCTGCATAAAAAACTAAATGCTGAGCTGAAATATCGTTTTTGACTAAGTTCTCGTTTTTGTTTAAATTGAGTAATATCTAGTTTTCTTTTATGTCATCACCCTAAAAAATTTCTTGTAGGTCATTGTACTCAAGAATATCTCTTTAAGGTCATTGCCCTCAAGTGTCCGGAGATTCAAGTGACTGTGGTGGATATCAACAAGGACAGAATCGATGGATGGAACTCAGACACTCTTCCCATATTCGAGGTCAGCAACAGAGCAGAATCATTATCTAATTGTTTCGAGTATTGAAAATGGGGAGGAACTTAGTAAATGGGTGTTTTTTCTTTTTATTTTCAACGAAAAATCATCGGAATTGGTTGAGTGATGTATCATATAGAAGCTCTGTCAGTCCTGGTTCTAATGACACTAAAGTTTCTTCCAGTTTTGAGGAAAAAACCGGTTTGAAATTTGTTTTAAATTCCAGCTAGTAAAGTCAGGCCGTTTACTCAATTTAGGCCGCTACAATAGCTTATTTATTCTTGATTTCAGTTTTAGTCGAGTAAATAAGTTGTTGGAGATTTTAATGCTACATTTTGGGAATCAAAAAGTCAAAAAAGAAGTTCTGCAAAAAAGCTTAAAAATTATTTTGAATTTTTTTATAGATTTTTTTTGTCATTTTTCTTCAAAATCTGTTGTCCTGGTTGTCAGTATCACTAGGAGTGTCGAATATGACTTAATTATAAATTTACGTCAATCTTCTTTCATACCACGCAGAAAAAAACTACACTAATTTGAAAAAACAAATTTTTTTTTCTTGTAGGTTTTAAAAAATTATGGTCGGAACATTTGTGCTATTTGCATAACTTCTGTTTTTTTTGTAACCACAAATAATAATGGGAATGGGGTGAGTGAAAGTTTATACTTAACTTTTTTAAGTCGAGATTCGAACAGCATTAAAAAATTTTCAATAATATATCACAGTATCGAGAAAAACATCGAGAAGTTTTTGATTTTTACTCTTCTAAATTCGAGCAAATAGTGCGAGCGAGCAAGCTTACAATAGCTCTTTTTTGCTTGATTCAGGCGGCAAAAACTTATTTCCACTTAAGTAAAGAAGTTTTTGGTGGTTTATAGCGCCATTTGAAAATTAAACATTTTTCAGCGAAAAATTTTTGATTTTTTAATTTTTTTGGTATTTTTTGTTTCTACATTTTTGCCTATTTTTACTATAACTATCGAGTATTCCTGATTTCCAGTTTTTCGTTTAGATTCTTTTGTCACTGCACGCAGAAAAAATCAATACTAATTTGAAAAAAAAACATCTTGAGTTTTTTTTGATTTTGGACGGAGTATTCTGCCGGCTATCCTTGTTTATCTTGTAGATGTTTTTCTTTTCGTTGAATTAAATGTTGATTCAGCTAGGGGTTTTGCATTAGATGTTCATTTTTCAAATGAGAACAAAAGACGCTCTGCTCTCTTAATCACAAAAATGGAATTGGGGTGAAAATTCGTCATAAACTCATGCAAAAAAATATTTTACAAATTTGAGCTATTTTACAAGTTTTAACTAAATAATATAATGCAATGCTTAAGAGTTTTTTCGATTCCCAATATATGAATGCTAGGCTTAATGAAAGGCCCACTTGTAAGCTAATAGCAATGATGCCAGCATGGAAGGGGAGGAGGAGCGCAAAGCAGTGTATTGTAACGTACAGGTTGGATTCATCCCTCTATACTTGATTTAACAGGCATTTTTACTTTTTATGAATGGTGTGATGGCTATTTTTTGTTGCAGTTTCTGGTCTACAAATTTGAATACCTAAATCTTTTTATTTTACGATATATGCCGTTTTTTTGTGACTTTTTCAAAGTTTTCAAAAGCTTCACAAAATTTGAAATAGTGGTTTGCTGTCAGGGTATTATTAGGAGTATCATGTCTTGCCTCCAATAATAACTGCTCCAATTCGTTTAGTTTCCAAGATATGGCGTTTTATTTTTTTAAATTTCTTTTTTAAACCTTAGATTTAAAACACTTGACAAAGATTGAAATTCCTAACCCTATAGTGGGGTTCTGTCACGGTTTTCTCGGGAAAAAAGAAAGCTCAGATTTAATTTTTTTTCTTCAAATTTTCGATCCTCTGGCGATGTGATATGAAGTTTCTCACAGATGTTGCAGATGTGGCCTCTAAAATTGACGGCTCAGTTTTTTCTGTGTTCTCTCATCCAATCGGTCATCCATACATTCAACAAGTCATCCCTTCATTTAGCCATCCTTCCAATCAGCAATCCATTCAACCAGCCTTACATCCGTTTATCCATCCTAGCAATCATTCGTCAGCTCAGCCACCACTTGAGCAATCGATCACTCCAACCAGTCATCAATTCATCTAGCGATCCGTTCGTTAATTCATCCTGCCATCCATGCAGCCATCGACCCCTTCGCTTGTCTAGCCCCTCTCAGATTTTACCTGCATCCACCCAACCAGTCATTCATTAAGACATGGAATAATCATTTCAACCAACCATCCATTGATCTTGCCATCTGTCCATCCAACCAGCAATCTTTTCATCTAGCTTTTCATCGATCTAGCAATCCATGCATCCAGATACATTCATCCGTCCTGCTTCTCATCCATCTAGCCATCCAGCCAGTCGTATATCTAGCTATCAATTAATGTAGCTTTTCATTCAACCAGTCATCCATGTGTCTAGCCATACAGCCAGTCAAATATCCAGCCATCAAGCCTTTCAACCAATCAGTCATCCATCGATCCATCTAGACAGCAATCCATTCGTCCATCTAGCTATCCACCGTACCTATCCATCTTTTCAATAAATGCAGCCGGTGGTTTCAGAACTCCATTGACCTATTCAACCATCCTTACAACCAGCTATACATCCATTCATCCAACCTATTGTTTTCTTAATTATAAACGTTTTCAGTTCTCATGAGCAGCCTTAGCTGCAGGGGGCCTGCTAGTTTGGTTTAATCTTGAGTTTATTCAGAATGAACGAATGAAAAATTTGTATTTATCCGTTTTTTTTAATTGATCTAGTCTTATAAGTAAGCAAAGGAGTTATAATACGTATTTATCTTTTTTTTTTAGTTGATCTAGTCTTATAAGTGAGCAAAGGAGTTACAATTTGTAATTTTTCTGGGCTGTAGCAATCTGTACTAGGATGTATTTTTGGATATTTTGGGAAAAGTTTTTGAATCGTTTGAATGTTGTTTGTTAAGTGCGTTAAGTGGCTACCGGTGGGAACGAATAAGCAACGTCTTGATCAAGAGGCGGAGACACTCGCCTTTTCACCTTCAATCCTGGGTACTTTTCTGTTATACCCACGGATTTTGATTTCAACTGTTTTTTTTAATAACTCTTTTCTTAATACGTGTGATAGCTGACACGCATAACAATCATGTCTATAATCATTTTTGTTCTAGCTTCACATTGCTCTGCTACAAATATCCTTTAATCAGTGCAAAACTGAGAGATCTTCCAGCATTTTTTTCCAGATTTTTGAATACTGAATTCCCATTGACTAAAATATTTTTTTTTCGGGCAATCGGTTCGTCAGATACAAGGGATCCGTAGATTTTTTTTATTAACCCCGGCACAGATTCCGCCTTTCAACGTTGGACGTTTTATTCCGTAGGGCAGAGAGGTGTCATGCCGTTTGCCGCAGCCGGTCCTACCTTGAGGAGGCAGATGACACTGATATCCCTCCAAACATGACCGATATCCATAGGCTATTATTATTCTGTTCTGTTTCAGCCTGATCTGGACAACGTGGTTAAGCAATGCAGAGGGGTTAACCTATTCTTCTCAACTGACGTGGACACACAAATAGCACAAGCAGACATCATCTTCATGTGTGTGAACACTCCAACCAAGTCATTCGGAATGGGATCCGTAAGTAATAATTCTTACCTCATAACTAGATTATTTAAATTGTGGGGACAACGTTAGTTCTTAATTACTGTGCATCCAATTTTTCACCCTGTAATATGTGAAGAGCTCGGAACATTAGTTTGGAAAGGTAATTATGTAACGTCAGCGACAACATCGGTTGTTGTGATACAATTATGTTGGTTGGGTCATTAAATTTTTGATGGGTCTCTAAAAAAATGTGTGCGCCTTAAAATTTTCGGACACTCGCATTGCAATTTTTTTCCCCGTTTTTCAGGATTTCAGAAAATTAAATTCTGAAGATCTATTATTTAACCTATTTAATACTTTAATAATGTGGAAAATAAGGGTGTAAAAACTCAAATTTCGTACCCCACTAATTTTTAATTTTAGTGCTGATCATATTAATAAAATCGAAAAATTCCTTTAGAGCAAACTAAGGTAACTTCAGTAATTAGTTATTTTATGCTTCATAATTTAGCAAGTAAATTTATTTGTTTTAACAGTCAAAGGTAAAATTGGCATTCTAGTCTGTTGAAATCTAAACTATTGTACTTGTGGTCGAAGGTTTTTTGAGATGAAGATTTAGAATCAGCCATGCTGCCTTCTAGTATTAGAAAGGGTAATGGTTAATGAGATGTTAAAGTAATCTGACCTTTTGTCCAAAGGTTCAAGGAGTTTTATCAATGTGTGACCATACTTATAGAAGCTATAATTTAAATTCTTGTTGTTATTTTCAGAACACAAAGGTAAAGTTAATGTTTTAATTTAATAGTGCCAAATTTAAGCTTCAGTACACAAGTTCTGAAAATTTATCCAATTTTATCATCACGGGACGAATTGTTCAGAAAAATTACCTGTTGATCAAGTTCACTTGAGCTACGTTACTTTTATGAAAAAAATGTCAGTCAAACAAGATTTTTGAAATGCAAACAGCTCTGAGCTGATAGACTTTTTTATACTGAAAACTCGATCATTTTTGAAAAATGTTGAAAAAAACTCGATCGTTTTTCCGATTTACTTAAGGGTTCACGGATAATTTTCCTTTGAACTGTTTAAACGGTAATTTTTATATTTCTACAGCTTGAATTTGCACTATAGTTGGCTTTGACAATAGATGTTTGATTAATTTTCATTTCATGTATCGCTTATTGTTTTGCATTATCACTTAAGTGACAATTGGTTACTGAATTAGAACAAGTTACATCATTTGAAAAAATTACTTGCAAATCATTTCAAAACACTCAATCATTTCTCATTTAAGCTTTTTTCGACATCTATCATTTAAGTTTTTTCGACATCAAATGATGTAACAATGCAATTGATTCATGCGGCCGTCTCTTAGAAGCTGACGGATGTATGAAGGAGCTGCTTAGTTTTTTCCCAGTCTGAAAATGACGTGAATTGTCGCCTGGGAAGAACTGACTTCATCCCTGCAGGATCATTTCCTTGTTTGCAAGTTTATAGCTTAGATCAATTGTATTTGCGCTTGTATGCATCATATAATCATCCGGGTTTTGAAAAACTTTTTTATCGTTGTCAAAATATAATGCAATGGTGCGTAACGTAGCAATCGTGAACAAATTTCTACTTCATTATTACCATCGTAATTTTACGTGTTTAGTCATGAGTACACCTATAACATCACCAGGGTTGAGATCACATTGAAATTTAGCGATAAAAAAGTGGAAACAAAACAGCGATAGCCATTGATGATTTATCGATGTTCATTGCCACAATAGCAAAATTTATTGATGGGTTATCGCTAATTTAGCTAGTTTTCAGCGATGAAACAGCGATAAAAAAACCAATCAAAATGAGCAAAAAGTGTGGACTACTGGGGTACGATCGCGCAGTCTTCAGCTTAGTAGACATATATGCTACCTCTGCGCTACGATTACGTATTTAGTCACAAGTTGTAGGGCTTATTGACTCTAGCTCTCATTTGAAAGATACTAGAATGAGTTAAAATTTCTTAAGTGTTAGCGCTGATTTTCTACGGAATCATTACTGAAATAGCTGTGAAATGTCGCTGGTTTAACTATGGAAAACTCTGAATTATACATGAATCAGCGCAGGAACATAGCGATCACTGGGATACTACAGAAAAAGCTATAATTTTAGGCGGGAATTCAACCCGGGCAAGCATTTCTATTATTAACTGTCAATGAATACAGTGAATTCATTTATATAGGTCGGGTGCATTTTTTTCATAAAAATTTGTTTTCACCAAATTTAATCTTTTGCTAATGGGTTTTTCATTGTTTCAATTCAATTGAAATCTATTTGCGAAAATGAAGGCAAGTTACGCTTTTCTTCTGCGAAAACGGAAATGGCGTTAAAAACGTGGAGAAAATCAGATTCACGATCAGATCGGAACAAAAATCGAACACGAATCAAAAATTGAATCCATATTTTTAACCGTTAACTAATGCTTTATTATACGTTATTCAGTTTGTTCGGATCTTGTTAACTATTCCCCGCCCCATATTGAAAGGTGGAATTACTTCACCAGGCATCATAGGGGTAATACTGAAAAAAACGCTATTGACTTTTGGACTAGAAAAATGAATTTTCGTACTTTTTTGTTGCGCAAAAAATCACCTACCTAATCAATTTTCTCTAATTGGGTTAATTTTTTTTTGTTAAAGTGCTAATCATAAAAACTTCAAATTCATAGATGTATTTGAAACTTTTTGAAGCAAATATAGTTTTCGGTTTCTTTGCTTGCTCATATTTACACAAGCAATGCTTGTGTTATAGTATGAACCATCTTCTTTTCCAGCCTAAGTCGCAAATATTGTCGCGACGCAAATATTGTTGCGATAAAACGTGTTCATTTTGAAAGTGTTCATTTTAATCAATAACCAGCTATTAAGTACAGCCATTGCTAAGGATTTAACACAGACTATTATTGTTCCGACTTTCGTAACGAAAGTAACCCAAAATTTGTGCTCGGGGTGGTTTTTTTTCTTCAGACAAATTTCGACTTTTTAACTAGCCATTTTTTTTACATCATTCAAAAGCTATTGTTGTCTTGAGCTCAAATTTGAAAAAATATCTCACCTGTGATTTTTTTGTTAAGTTATGGGGGTATAAAAATTGCCATTTTGGCCAATTTGGGACAATTAACGCGCGGTATGTTTCGCGCTATTAGCGCATTAACGATTTGTTACTGGGAGCGAAATTTATCACTGTACCTAATATGGCGTGTGGGGGGATGATTTTCACAAAAAATCTCTCAAATTAAAAAAAAAATTCATTTTGGTTTTTATTACATTTAATTTTTTCATGTTTTTACTGCTCCATAGACTGCTCTATAAATTGAGGCATGTTAGTTGGTAAATTTCTTTTTTTTTCAAATTTACTGGTACTGCTGATGCGTCTTAATTAGCGTGCGTCACTTAAGGTAGGCTCAAAGTTTTTTTACTCATTCAGTTTTTCCGAGTAGCGTTATCGGTCATATTTTTGCTTGTGTATGCCAAGTGCAACTTCACCTTCACCTCTGTTAAATTATATAAACAGCTCCTCTGTGCACCAAGCAAACGGAAAGAAAGAATGCAAGCAATTCGGAGAAATATACAAGAATTAATTACAATACTTGTTTTACCATCTCACAATAACTGTGCTTTCGATTTTATGCGAATTTTTTATTTCATAAAAATGATTGCAATTATTACCCCCCTGTATTTGTTTTTAACGACCTCGTCTAGGCACAAAACTGCACGAAAAACAATTGCAGCCTAAATTCTAAAATCTCTTAAATAGTTTTTAACTACATATGCTTCTCCTTTTTCTGCCCAGAGCAGCGGATCTTATGTTCATCAATGTTTTTGCGTGTGTGTGTGTGTGTGTGTGTGAATGACATGCTGAGTCATGCATGGGATTTTTTTTCAAATAATTGTAATTTTAATTTTATTACTGCAAATTATTCTAACCGAATTTTATAAATAATTCTAGGGAAGAGCAGCCGATCTGAAGTTCATTGAGTTGTGTGCGAGAAGGATAGCGGCTGCGGCTACGAGTGACAAGATAGTGGTTGAAAAGAGCACAGTCCCTGTTAGATGTGCAGCAAATATCAAACGGATTCTGGCTGCAAATAGGAAAGAAAACTGCAAGTTCCAGGTGAATTTATTATTTTTTTATAACCGGAGTTTAGACGCAATAAAAACTAAATTTTTTTTGAAGAGTAAATAAAACTCGTAAATGAGCAGAGCTTATATCGAACGGATGCTGGCTGTAAATAGGATAACTTCAGGTTCTTGCTTTTTTAAAAATTTTTGAAAAAAAAAACATTAAAAAAAATCAGGTTTCTTTTTTAAAAAATGTGCGATGTTAAGACATGCAAATCTGATGTTTTATGAAAATTAAAAAATGAAATGCAAATTTCCGGTAGATTTAATTTTAAGACAATAATTTTTTTGGGTTTTTGTGCTTAAGTTCTAGTAAGCAATTCAAAAAAAGACATTGACTCAAATTTTTTTTTGAATTGCTAACTAGAACTTAAGCACAAAAACCTAGAAACTCGTCCAAAAAAAGCTCGCCATTATTTAAACACTGGTGGAAAAAAGAGTGGAATAACCAAGAACGCAGAACGTTTAGATAATAATGATCAAGTACACCGTTTTGTATTTGGAATGCGATAGTTGCTTCCATTTTCGGTCGGCACAAAAAATCGAGACGCGTAGTTATCGACACAAAATTCAATGAAAAGCATTTCTAAAACTTGAATTTATGTCGGTTTTGAATGGTTTTGAATTCGTAGCAGCTTTTCTCTTTGATCAGGCTCCAAAAATTAATTTATCGAACTGCTTGAGCCGACAATAGCTTGTGTGACAATTTGCGTAATAATTGTGATGGATAATCATGAACCTCGAGTCGACCTGAAAAACGTGAGCTTAAATGAGAAATATTTTTGTTAGTTGTTCGAACTGCCGCAGTACTTATTGTGACACCTCTAAAGTGATGTCATTGATAGCCATGAAATTATTGCCATATTAGAAAATGTATAATGTTAAATATTAAAATCTCAAGCATGCAGTTGAATAACTTATTATTGACACAATGTAAATAGTGTGTTCAGAATTGGGGAGGATGCGATAGTTAGTCTAAAAAACAGTCAGAAAGAGAAATTGAATAAAACTAACCAAAAAGCTAAATTGTTAGTGAGCTGAAGATTAGGGAGAGATTCATGCTGTCGGGGCCCAAGCGTCCGTGATAAGATACTGCAACAATAACATCTAGAAAGAACATGCAAATAGAGACCAACAAGCAGTGTGTCATATGGTGATAGTTCGTGAACGACAGTGACAATCTCCACCCACTCCAGCTGAACATCCAGACGACATCGCAAGGGTGCTAAAACAATAGATCAAGCGCAGCAGCTGTGTCGAGCCAAAGAAGTGAAAACTCATACTACATCCTACAGTTTTTGTGGATTTTCTAGTTGAGGAAACTTCATCCAAGTGATGTATCAGGGGAAAAACTCGAGAACTTTCGTCTCTACAAACTTGTAGGTCAAACCATTAAGACTCTTGTGCTATATATTGGTGGAAGTTTTAAAATTGGTGTGCGCTCAATCAACCCAGTTTGAAATCAATCATTAAATTTATGAATTCATCAAAAATTGGAGAAGGGTAAATGCAATAAATTAATGCTTAAAGTCAAAATAGTATCGTACCACTACCTAAACCCACCTAAAGATTATTGAACATTTGCCAATAACCATATTGAGTAATTAAACGAAATAGCTCGTAACTTATTACCTTTTGCGGAAAACCTATCCTAATTTGTGCTAATAAGTTCCACTAATTGCATAAATCAGACTGAAAATCATCAAAATTGTAAATGGCCCACGCTCAAATCTCAGTCACACCATACGGCGGTACGGATGCCGAAGATTTCGCCCAATTCGAACAACTCTTCAACGGATTCATCGGAGTTGCAGGTGTCGCACCACTCCAGCAAGCGAACTTTCTTCAACTCCATTTGCGAGATCACGCACTTCGGTTTTACCAAACGTTACCAGCCGCAACCAGAGAAAACGTAGCGAATAGTCTGACAGCATTGCGAGACCATTTCAGTAATCCTCAACTTCAAGAAGTTCATGTCTTGAAGCTTGAACAAACTAAATTTGATTTAAAGAAGGATACGCCGGAGAATTTCTTGGTGACGTTACAGAAAAAAGCGGAGAAAGCATACCCAACGCCTGAAATTGCAATTCCTAACCCAATTGATGCAGGAGCAGCGGATGCAGCTCTCGAAGCAGCACGACATGCTCGAGAAACTGCCCAACGCGACGAAAGATTAGACGCAGTCAGAGAAAATCGGGATGAACAGGTTCGCAGACTTTTTATAAAAGCCATGCCCAATTGGCTTCGAGGCAAACTAATGGATCGCCCTGCGGGAGAAACAGTACAAGAATTGTGTACATATACAAGGAGACAAATGACCATACGCGAAGTTTGCCGAAAAGAAGATTATCCAGAGGATGGATTCAATGAAATTAGCGCAACAGTATCCGATAATCTGATAAACGCCTTGTCTAAACTTAGCGCGACACAAGAAGCTATGGAAAAACAATTCAACGAAATTCGAACGCAAATGAGCGATAGAAATTGTCAAGAAGCATCGACTTCAGCGCAACAATCATCCAAACAACAACAACAACAACAACAACAACAGCAGCAGCATCAGCAGAATCGACCGCGAAATGACTATAACCGTGGTTTCCAACGAGGATTTCGCGGAGGAGGCAGAGGTTATCAGCAGAGACAATCTTACCAACACTACCCTGACCATTCAACCGAATTCTTCCCAGGAAACCAGTCAAACCAGGGGAATCAAAATTATAGAGGACAATACCCTCACCAGAGCAATTTCAGATCTGGATATCGAGGAAGAGGTGGACGTTATCGAAACCCTTACAATAATTTCCGAGGAAACCAACAGCAACAGTTCCAACCATTCTTCACAAATCAGAACTACCAATTTCCGCAACCAAATAACTATCAACAACAGTCAGTCCAACAACAAGCACAAAATGTTGATATACAAAACCCAGCCATGCCATACATGCCAGTCATCCAAGCAACTGCAGTATTCTGTGAGAACTGCGGATACCCTAACCATACAGCCAGTCAATGTCACTTTCGACAAAAACCTCAAGGAAAGGGACAATCTTTCCCATTCCAACAGCAGCCAAAAAACTTCTAAGGCCACCGAGTCAAGAGTCAAGTAAAGAAACGAAAATCATCAACGAAAAATCAGCCAAAACTCCTAAACGAAAAAGAAACTCTAAGTCTCACAAAAAGCGACCCAAAAAACCACACCCTGATCAAACGAAGCGGAAAATCGACCCCAATGAAAAAATTGATCCAGAAGAAATTCTTGATCTTTACGCAGTCGTCCCGGAAATTGATAAAATTTTAACTTACGTCAAACTTCAGTTTGCACCTCAAACATTCAGGCGCGCACTTGTAGACACTGGTGCCTGTGCAAACGTCATTACCAGAAAAACCTTAAATGAACTCAAAGAAGACAAAACATTATATAAAGTAATCCAGACCCAAGAACCAAAGTTGAAACGAGTACGAATGGCAGCTGGACAACTAGTACCAATAGATACAGAAGCTATAATATGTTTCCGAATCGCAGCGCAAACCTTTACAGAAAATTTTTTAGTGCTCCCAAAAGCAAATTCTATGATACTTGGAAACGGTTTTTATAAAAAGCACAACATAGAAATTTGTCCAAAATATGACCTTCTTAAATTTCCAGAATTGACAATCCAAGTCAACGAAATCAAGTCACCTACCTCAAAACGACACAAGAAACCTACGCTACGATTTGCCCTACTTCTGTCACAGAAATACGTTATTCAACCGAAGAAAACAGTACTGTTAGAATGTTTCACAGAAACAAATATCAAAAACACTATTGGAACAGTTTTACCAATCCCTGAATTTGAAGATGACTCCAATATTGCACTTATGTCATCAATTAGTGAAACAACAGCAGACAGCAAACTATATATTGCAGCACTCAACGTTACAGATCACGTAATAACCCTACCAAACAGAAGTAAAATAGCAAATTTTACGATTTTAAGATCAACAGACACTCGTAACATCATCCCAATTGATTCACAGACATTAGCACTCGCAAAAATGAATAATCCAGAGGATTTAGAGCATGAAATCAATCAACTTATTCAAGTGAATGAATCAGATAACATGAAAATTAGCAAACCTGAGCCAGAGTATGAAAAATTTTGGTTCCCGACACCGGAAACGTGTGAAAACCCTAATTTTCTTACACCGATTCAAAGAGAAATCTACGATCAGATCCTCAACTTTAAAAAACTTGAACTTTGTGAACCGAAATTGAATGACCATGATAGATTGACATTCCTAAGCCAGTTCAATTGGGAAAATTCCATCCTCACGAACGCCCAAAGGTCAGAAGTAGAAAATTTACTAGTTAAATATTCAGACGTATTTGCCAAACATCGATTTGATGTCGGGTATAATTCCGAACTTCAAATTAAACTCACACCGGAACATCAACGACCCCTGTATACACAAGGTCCACCAACGCCAATCCACCTACGAAAGGAATTAACGGTTGAACTAGCATTAATGCACTACTTTGGCTTAATAACAACGTTATCACAATCAAAGTACAGTAGTCCACTGTTTGCTCATCGAAAACCATCAGGCAAACTCAGAATGCTTATTGACTTAAGAAGAATAAACCATTCGCTCAAAAATGACTATCTAAATGCCAACTTCCCAATTTCAAACATGACAGATGCTTCAAATCATTTTGCCGGAAAGAAACTGTTTACAAAGCTTGATTGCTCGCAAGCATACCATTGTGTTCAAATGGCAGATGACATCTCAGTTCAACTATTGGCATTTAACTTTTCATCACGCACCTATGCCTATAAATGTCTAGCTCAAGGTCTGAACAAATCAGTAACCGGATTTAGTTCTTTCATCCGTCATTACCTAGATCCATGCTTAGCAGGGGATATGTGTACTCAGTTCATGGATGATATAGGAAGTGCAGTGCACACTTTTGATGAACTAATACCAACCTTGTCTAAAATCTTTGATTGTATC